GCGAGAGAGGAAGTGGTCCCTGACTGCGCGCAGAGAGTCAGGGAGGCGGGTGACGATGTGGTAGAGAGTGATCCAGAGCGGGGGGGGGTTGCTAGTGAGAAACTCGGCAGGCATAGCAGCGCGAAAGCGGGCCTCACTAGTCTTAAGGTGGGTGATGAGGTCTGCGACAGTGTGAAAGGAGGCTAGGTCGGGGAACAGGTAGGGGAGAGTGAGGCGGCCTAACGTGGCAGAAGCGGGTGAGGAGTAGCGGGCAACGACAGCGGTGTAGAGGTCCTTAGCAGTCTTGCACTGCCCGAAGTGCTCGCGCTCGTCTAGCGGCAGGGAGTTGCGAATAGCAAAGCGAGTGTGCGCATCACGGGTCTGCCACTGGGAACGCAGAGTGCTGTCAGCAGTCGAGTCAGGGGCAGTGGCATGGCCTAGGGCGTGGTCGTACAGTGAGATATCTTCCTTGGCTGTGAGCTGTAGGAACAGGTGCAGGTCATCGAGCCAGGTTTCGAACTTCACTGGACGGCCCTCGGCATCGAAAGCTAGAACTGGCGGACTAGCCATAGTGACAGTAGTAGTAGGAATCAGGCCGCTGGAAAGGTGTGCGGAGGGTCAACGGGGCCGGCGGGGCCGCTAGGCAAGGCGCGGGCGGGTCGACTGTCCGTAGTGGCACACGAGCGGTAGTAGTAGGTATAAGGTAAACAGTAGGAACGAGGCCGCTGGGAGACTGTGGGCAGTGTCAACGGGGCCGGCAGCAGCGGCAAACGAGTGGTAGCGTACGGGCGGCAGCAGCAGTGGCGCACGGGCGGCAGCAGCAATGGCGCACGGGCGGCAGCGGCTTTGGCGCACGGGCAGTAGCGGCAGTGAGCGCGGTAATGGCGGCCGCAGTAGCAGCACACGGGCGGCAGCGGCGGTAGCGCACGGGCGGCAGCTGCAGCGGGCGGCGGGAGTAGCGGTAGCGAGCGCACGGGCGGGAGCTGCAGCGGCGGCGGCAGCGGCAGTAACGCACGTGCAGCAGCGGCAGCGGCGCACGGGCGGCAGTGGCGGCGGCACAGCAGCGGCAGCGACAGTGGGCGGTGCGCAAGCAGCAGCGGCAGCAGCGTACGACAGCGGCAGCGGCAGTGGCGTACGGGCGGCTGCGGGTGACGGGCGAGCGGCAGCTGCGGCAGCGAGCTGCGGGCCTGCGGGGCCACGGCGGGGCGCGCGCGAGCAGCAGGGGCCGCGCGAAGGGCTGACGGGCCGCGTGCGGGCGACTAGCGGGCCACGCGCGCAACTAGCGGGCCGCGCGCGCAAGAAACAAAGCCGCGCGCGCTAAAAAAAAGGACCCGCGCGCGGGTAGCTAGCGGGTCGCGCGCGCGCGGTGGGGAAAGGCGCACGAGGGCGCGAGGCCTTAAGGGGCCGTAAGAACCGAGGCGCTCTAAGGCGCAGGTAGGTAGGTAGGTAGGTAGGTAGGTAGGTAGGTAGGTAGGTAGGTAGCGGTGGGCCCTAAGAACGGTCCTAGCGAAGGACCTGCTCTGATACCATGTCAGAATGAACGGACTGGAACGGTTGAACTAACAGAGAAAGCTGTACAAATGGCAAACCCTAGAATTGTGTACTTCATATAGGCTAACCCACTGTAGCCTAACAAACGCAACATATATAATGTTTGACACGTACTCCCACCCACGAGTCATGGTGAGGTCCTGCAGGTAGGGAGTTGGTGGTGGTGGTGGTGGTGGTGGTGGTGGTGGTGGTGGTGGTGGTGGTGGTGGTGGTGGTGGTGGTGGTGGTGGTGGTGGTGGTGGTGGTGGTGGTGGTGGTGGTGGTGGTGGTGGTGGTGGTGGTGGTGGTGGTGGTGGTGGAGGTGGTGGTGGTGGTGCTAGTGCTGGTGCATGTTTTGACAAAATGAATGTTTTCCACTCCATGATAGCAGCGAAAGGTGCGGTGCATGGTGCAAGTAAGAGAGCCACGGAGAGCCACGGAGAGAAAGCACAAGATAAGGGCCTACCTGCATGGTGTAGTTTGTTTCCTAGAGTGCATGAAGAGCAAAGAGATCATACCACAGTGAAGTTGACTCCAGCGCCACTGATGCGAGCAGTGTGAGCCGTGGACACGCCACAGCAAGGCAGAGTCTTCCCGTTCACCGTTCGACGAATGGTCAGCTGACACGTGGCGGAGTCAACAGTCACTGTTTCGACCATGATGTGCGGCAGTAGCAAGTGGGCGAGCGCCCTGGTGGGGACAAGGAGGGGAGGAGGAGAAGGGGAAGGGGAGGGGGGCGTGTGATGATCAGGTGAGAGCATGACAGTCACTGTCTCAACCATGATGTGCCGCAGTAGCAAGTGGGCCAGCAGGCTCGCGGGGAGTAACGGGAGGAGGAAAAGCGGAAGGGGAAAGTATGACAGCCACTGTTTTCGTCTATGATGTGCCGCAGTAGCAAGTGGGCAAGCAGGCTGGAGGGGAAGGGGAAGGGGAAGGGGAAGGGGAAGGGGAAGGGGAAGTGGGGGAGGTGGGAAAAGGTGGCAGTAGTTACAACAAGGTCGCGAGTCATGACTCGTGACATTCACACCAGGACAGATAATCACAACTTGGGCCATGATGTACCAAACCAAAGATAGCACGTGAACACACAAGAAGGCTGGAAAGCCTGAATGAGACAGACATGGCTTGAAATGAATAGAACCCACCCACCAGATGCTCACAACCCAGAGGGGAATGGTGTAGTAAAGGGCGAGGGGGGGAACTCCATATTTCACTACTGCTGTGGTTGACAAGAAGGCGACAACCGCCAATAAGAGCTGCGGTGGCAGGGATGGTGTGTGCTGGAAAGGGGAGATTGGAAGGGATGGGGGCGGGAAAGAGAGGGATTGAGGCAACATGTTTGATGGTGCTGCTGTGGATGAAAAATAGGGGACAGCTACCATCCAGAACTGTGATGGCAGGAATGGTGTGTGGTGGGAAGATTGGGTGGGAGACTTTTGAGACGTCTCAAAAGAACGGCGTGTGATGGGAAGACTGGGTGGGAGACTTTTGAGACGTCTCAAAAGAACGGCGTGTGGTGGGAAGATTGGGTGGGAGACTTTTGAGACGTCTCAAAAGAACGGCGTGTGGTGGGAAGACTGGGTGGGAGAGACTTGGACTGATTGATTTGAAGGCAGCAAGGGAGGGATTGGGCCAGCATGCTTGCTGCCGCTGTGGATGTGCAAAAGGCGACAAACGCCGTCCATAACTGCAATGGCAGGGATGGTGTGTGTGTGGGGGTGAGAAATAAGGTAAGAGCGTACAAAGCAGCAAGATGGTGGCTCTAGGGCGGAGGAGTTGCCTGACACGAGCTCACCAGGACGAAGACGATTCCGAAAAGGGCTGCACAAGAGAGGCGCAGGGGAGGGATGGTGAAGCGGAGGAGCGTGGGCGAGCGGGAGACGAGTACTTGCGTGCCCATGGGCTGGACAAGGCCAGGATACACGAGTGGCGTTCCCTCTGCCACCCCTCCTGCTGCTCCCCGTGCTGGCCCCCCTGCTGCTGCCGCCTTTCCTGCTGCTGCTGCTGCTTCAGTAGGACCAGCGGCAGCATCAGCAATGCCAACGGCCTCAGCAGGAGGAGGATTCGGCGGAGAGGGATGATGAGGATTGAAAGAGGAGTAGGAGGCGGTGGAGGTGGCGAGGAGAGGAGCGCGATCCGAGCTTTGGCCTTGGCCGCTCATTGGCTGCTCCTTGTTGAAATCCTAACCGATCGAGAGAGCAGGAGAGGTCGGAGAAGACTTGGGAGCGGAGCGAAGCGAAGGGAACAAGGTTTGGAAGACAATCAAGCCAACTTCCATGTCTTCCAACGGAAGCAACATCCAGCGAATTGGAAAGACGGCCGAGAAGACCAGAGCAAAGATACCAACTCGCTCCAACTTGGAAAAGAAAGAAAAAAAAAAAAAATGTATACCTCGTACAAATCAAAACTGGAAGGACAAACTTGTGTGCGACGCTCACCATGCTGACGCTCCCACTGCTGAAGCCGCTCGGCCTTCCGCAACTCGAGTGCTCGAAAATCCGGGATTTACACGGCCCGTGGGCGTTGCCGCAATTTCCAGAATCAGTAATCAAGCAACGCTAGCGAAGGTGGTCACTGGGTGGTTCGCTCGCCGGCAACTTTCTGAGGTAGAAGAGGAAGTTAGCAAAGTAAGAGAACGAGAGGAAGGATTGACGAGGACGAGGGATTTTAATAGAGAAGATAAGGGCGAATTCAACAAAGGGAAGATATCGGCGGGATCCCGCCGAAACCCCCTTTCGCCCCTGCGCCATTTAGCCCGCGTCATTTTCGTTCGGACGCCGTCGAGCGCAGCACGCGAGGGGCGGAACCGACCCCCCCAGCCCGCCCCATGACTCCCGCCAGCTTCGGAGTGACGCGAGCTGCTCCCCTCTGTCCCAATTCTCGTCTAATCGCAAAAACAGAGGGCGCTTCGGGAATCGGAGGGAAGCATCAGTTGGCGTAGAGCTTGCATAGAGCTTGAGTTTGTTTTCGATTCATATCTGCGCGACAGCTGCTGTTAGCGAAATGCCTAGGGTTCGCTTACATTTCCTTTGTTGAATTCGCCCTTGTCGCCCGATCACTGGTTTCGGCAAGGTTTCTCTCGTGTAGAAAGCTCCGCTAGGGATCACTGAACTTCCAGAGCTGGTAGTCTGCATTGTAATCTAATTTGTCATTACTCTGTACACAATTGAGAATTCCCGGCTTTTCTTCTGGCTCAGTTTGGTACATAAATGTTATGAGACGTTACAATGCGGTGAATGTTTGGTATGTTTGTTCTTCATGCATAGAACTGAGGGCAATGCATGTGTGGAACTAGTCCTCGTCAAGTGCTTGGCGCTTTGTTCAACTCTCCGTGTGTCCTCCTGAAGTCCTCAAACTACGAGATTTGCGTATCGTAGACCAAGCTCCCAGCAACCCCTTCGTAGAACTTTCGTGGTCCGAGTTCACGTATCGCGTGTAGTATCGCGTTCACCAGGCGTGAAGTCGCGGATGCAGGCGGCGCGACGAGAGCAATGCGGCGCGATGCGCGTGTTTTAGTGGCAGTCGACCAATCACAGGGCGCCGAGACGGTGCGGGAACGGAGAGAAAGTGAAATGTGGGAGTGAAGGAAGGGGGGGAAGGAGAGCAGGGGAGTGAGAGCAGGGGAGTGAGAGCAGGGGAGTGAGAGCAGATATAGGTGTGAAGTTGTATTGCCTTTCGCCGTTTCTAATCCCTCCGTTGCTGCCGTTCACTGCTGCCGTCCTGTGCTGCCGTTCGCTGCTGCCGCCCTGTGCCGCCGTCCACTGCTGCCGTCCAACAACCCTCCCATTCCTCTCTCCAATTCGCGTTGCCTTTTCAAACCTCACAGGCGTTTCTCTTCGCGCTGGGCCTGCTGTCTCGCATCGCAACAAGTTGGCTCTTGTGATTCATCTCGCTACCATTCCCTATTCCCTTCTCCAACACGCGTTGCTTTGCTTCTCCTAATCCCACAGGCGTTTCTCTTCGCGCTGAGCCTGCTGTCGCGCAACGAGTTGAGCCGGGGGTTCAAGTCCCTCTTCTGCCAAGCTTGTTACCAATGCTAAAAAAAAACACCAACTCCCATCCCCCTGTCTGACACGCGTTGCCTCTCCGACTCCCACAGGCGTTTCACTTCGCGCTGAGCCTGCTGTCGCGCAACGCCACCATATATGCGTTACATGTCCGGGACCCCAATACAGGTGAGCCTGGTGACTGTCAGTCGACTTAAGGTTTTCTCGCCATGCCGCGCTCTATATGCTTTGCATGTCCGGGTCCCGGGACCCCAACAACGGTGATTTCCTTGCTGACACGTCTTGAAACGCCATATATGTGTTGCACGTTAGGAACACCAACACCATGCCGTTGTGCGCCAGAAACCTCTGTTTTCTCGCCATGCCATTGCCTGTCCGTCATATGTGACGGATCGTTTTTTAATTGACTCAGAAGCTTTCTTTCGACGCCACCATCTATGAGTTAGGTCTATGCGTTACGTTACATGTCAGGGACACCAACACTGGCGAGCCTGGCAGTGGTGGTGGTGGTGGTGGGGTGGCATGGGTGGCAGTGGTGGTGGTGGTGGTGGCATGGGTGGCATGGGTGGCATGGGTGGCAGTGGTGGCATGGGTGGCATGGGTGGCAGTGGTGGTGGCATGGGTGGCATGGGTGGCAGTGGTGGTGGCATGGGTGACAGTGGTGGTGGCATGGGTGGCATGGGTGGCAGTGGTGGTGGCATGGGTGGCAGTGGTGGTGGCATGGGTGGCAGTGGTGGTGGCATGGGTGGCAGTGGTGGTGGCATGGGTGGCAGTGGTGGTGGCATGGGTGGCAGTGGTGGTGGCATGGGTGGCATGGGTGGCATGGGTGGCATGGGTGGCATGGGTGGCATGGGTGGCATGGGTGGCAGTGGTGGTGGCATGGGTGGCATGGGTGGCAGTGGTGGTGGCATGGGTGGCATGGGTGGCATGGGTGGCAGTGGTGGTGGCATGGGTGGCATGGGTGGCAGTGGGTGCATGCATGGCACGAGAAGCACCGCAGCAGCGGGCAACAGCTGGATATACGAGGCAGAGCAGCGGGCAAAAGCTGGATATACGAGCAGAGCAGCGGGCAAAAGCTGGATATACGAGGCAGAGCAGCGGGCAACAGCTGGATATACGAGGCAGAGCAGCGGGCAACAGCTGGATATACGAGGCAGAGCAGCGGGCAAAAGCTGGATATACGAGGCAGAGCAGCGGGCAACAGCTGGATATACGAGGCAGAGCAGCGGGCAACAGCTGGATATACGAGGCAGAGCAGCGGGCAACAGCTGGATATACGAGGCAGAGCAGCGGGCAAAAGCTGGATATACGAGGCAGAGCAGCGGGCAAAAGCTGGATATACGAGGCAGAGCAGCGGGCAACAGCTGGATATACGAGGCAGAGCAGCGGGCAACAGCTGGATATACGAGGCAGAGCAGCGGGCAACAGCTGGATATACGAGGCAGAGCAGCGGGCAACAGCTGGATATACGAGGCAGAGCAGCGGGCAACAGCTGGATATACGAGGCAGAGCAGCGGGCAAAAGCTGGATATACGAGGCAGAGCAGCGGGCAAAAGCTGGATATACGAGGCAGAGCAGCGGGCAACAGCTGGATATACGAGGCAGAGCAGCGGGCAACAGCTGGATATACGAGGCAGAGCAGCGGGCAACAGCTGGATATACGAGGCAGAGCAGCGGGCAACAGCTGGATATACGAGGCAGAGCAGCGGGCAACAGCTGGATATACGAGGCAGAGCAGCGGGCAACAGCTGGATATACGAGGCAGAGCAGCGGGCAAAAGCTGGATATACGAGCAGAGCAGCGGGCAACAGCTGGATATACGAGGCAGAGCAGCGGGCAACAGCTGGATATATGAGGCAGAGCAGCGGGCAAAAGCTGGATATACGAGGCAGAGCAGCGGGCAAAAGCTGGATATACGAGGCAGAGCAGCGGGCAACAGCTGGATATACGAGGCAGAGCAGCGGGCAACAGCTGGATATACGAGGCAGAGCAGCGGGCAACAGCTGGATATACGAGGCAGAGCAGCGGGCAACAGCTGGATATACGAGGCAGAGCAGCGGGCAACAGCTGGATATACGAGGCAGAGCAGCGGGCAACAGCTGGATATACGAGGCAGAGCAGCGGGCAAAAGCTGGATATACGAGCAGAGCAGCGGGCAACAGCTGGATATACGAGGCAGAGCAGCGGGCAACAGCTGGATATATGAGGCAGAGCAGCGGGCAACAGCTGGATATACGAGGCAGAGCAGCGGGCAACAGCTGTCGTAACACCCCGTCCTCACACTCTCCCCCCTCTCTCCCCTCCCACCCCGTGCCAGATGGAGCATGGACGTACGAGGCAGAGCAGCGCAGCAGCAACGCCCCCTCACCACACCTCGGCCAGTACAATTCATTCCTCTCCCGCTGCCTTTGGTCCCCCTTCCCTCTCCCCCTGTGCCAGAGATGGCGTGGAAATACGAGGCAGTGCAGCGCAGCAGCACTGGGTAGTGATGGTGATGGTGGTCACTGTAAAATCAGATCAAGCTGCTAGTCTATGGCCTTCCTGGCCCCTCCTCTCCGCCCCTTTCCTTTTCGCCAGAGGCGTCATGGTTGTACGAGGCGGCATGGTTGTACGAGGCAGAGCAGCGTAACAGCACTGGCCAGGCGCTGGTGTGGGAGTATGAGGTGGAGTGGAGGCGCGGGCAGTGCAACAAAAAGTGTCCCTTTAACACCACTCTCCTCCGTCGCCACTACTTTCCCCCTTCCACCCACGCGCGCCTCCCCTCCTATTGCGGAGATTAGTTTTGAGGCGCCTCATAAATCAGTCGCCACTACTTTTCCCCTTCCACCCACGCGCCCCTCCCCTCCTATTGCGGAGACAGCATGGATGTACGAGGCAGAGCAGCGCAACAGCCGTGTCGTAACACCCCCTCCTCACACTCTCCCCCCTCTCTCCCCTCCCACCTCTCTCCCCTCACATCCCCTCTCTCCTGCCAGAGTCGACGTGGATGTACGAGGCAGAGCAGTGCAACAGCACTGGCCAGGCGTTGGTGTGGGAGTATGAGGTGGAGGCGCGCGCAGAGGATTTGCTAGCGCGATTCCGAGGAATGGCGCATGCAGCAGGGGTGAGTGAGTGGGGGAAAGGGGGGAGGGGGGGTTGAGTTGATGGGGAGGGAGGGGGAGAAAGGGGAAGGGCCATGAGGGGGAGTATGAGGTGGATCCGCGCGCAGAGGCACTGCTGGCGCGTTTCCGGGAGATGGCGCATGCAGCTGAGGTGAGTGGGAGGAGGGGGAAAGGGGGTGTTGAGTGGAGGAAAAGAGATATGGGAGTATGAGGTGCAGGTGAGAGCAGAGGATCTGCTGAGTCGATTCCGAGGGATGGCGCATGCAGCTGGGTTGAGTGGGGGAAAGGGGGGAGGGGGGGTTGAGTTGATGGAGAGGGAGGGGGAGCTAGGGGAAGGGCCAGGAGGGGGGAGAGTGAGGCAGAAGCGTTGCTGGAGCGAATCAGAGGGGTGGCACATGCAGGCAAGGTGAGTGGGAGGAGAGGAGGGGGGAGGGAAGGGCAAGATGTGTGATGCGTGCATGGAGCTGCATGGCTGGACGTCTCAATACTCAATGGAGCACGGTGGATCAATACTCAGTGGAGCACGGTGGATCAATACTCAACCCGCAACCCAACCCCTCTTGTCCACCAGGTGACATGCCGTGCAGCGTCGCACAAGGGAGGAGATGCGTGCATGGAGCTGTGTGGTGAGACGGCTTAAAGCTCATCTCTCACCCACCCCCTCTTGTCTACTAGATAACGTGCCATGCAGTGTCGCGCAAGGCAGGAGATGCGACTTGACTATTGAGACGGGGTGGTGGTGGTGTGCAGAGCTGGGTGGTGGTGAGACGACTTGACTATTGAGTCGACTCAAAAGTCACCTCGTGTGCAGAGCTGGGTGGTGGTGGGACGACTTGACTATTGAGTCGACTCAAAAGTCACCTCGTGTGCAGAGCTGGGTGGTGGTGGGACGACTTGACTATTGAGTCGACTCAAAAGTCACCTCGTGTGCAGAGCTGGGTGGTGGTGGGACGACTTGACTATTGAGTCGACTCAAAAGTCACCTCGTGTGCAGAGCTGGGTGGTGGTGGGACGACTTGACTATTGAGTCGACTCAAAAGTCACCTCGTGTGCAGAGCTGGGTGGTGGTGGGACGACTTGACTATTGAGTCGACTCAAAAGTCACCTCGTGTGCAGAGCTGGGTGGTGGTGAGACGACTTGACTATTGAGTCGACTCAAAAGTCACCTCGTGTGCAGAGCTGGGTGGTGGTGGGACGACTTGACTATTGAGTCGACTCAAAAGTCACCTCGTGTGCAGAGCTGGGTGGTGGTGGGACGACTTGACTATTGAGTCGACTCAAAAGTCACCTCGTGTGCAGAGCTGGGTGGTGGTGGGACGACTTGACTATTGAGTCGACTCAAAAGTCACCTCGTGTGCAGAGCTGGGTGGTGGTGGGACGACTTGACTATTGAGTCGACTCAAAAGTCACCTCGTGTGCAGAGCTGGGTGGTGGTGGGACGACTTGACTATTGAGTCGACTCAAAAGTCACCTCGTGTGCAGAGCTGGGTGGTGGTGGGACGACTTGACTATTGAGTCGACTCAAAAGTCACCTCGTGTGCAGAGCTGGGTGGTGGTGGGACGACTTGACTATTGAGTCGACTCAAAAGTCACCTCGTGTGCAGAGCTGGGTGGTGGTGGGACGACTTGACTATTGAGTCGACTCAAAAGTCACCTCGTGTGCAGAGCTGGGTGGTGGTGGGACGACTTGACTATTGAGTCGACTCAAAAGTCACCTCGTGTGCAGAGCTGGGTGGTGGTGGGACGACTTGACTATTGAGTCGACTCAAAAGTCACCTCGTGTGCAGAGCTGGGTGGTGGTGAGACGACTTGACTATTGAGTCGACTCAAAAGTCACCTCGTGTGCAGAGCTGGGTGGTGGTGGGACGACTTGACTATTGAGTCGACTCAAAAGTCACCTCGTGTGCAGAGCTGGGTGGTGGTGGGACGACTTGACTATTGAGTCGACTCAAAAGTCACCTCGTGTGCAGAGCTGGGTGGTGGTGGGACGACTTGACTATTGAGTCGACTCAAAAGTCACCTCGTGTGCAGAGCTGGGTGGTGGTGGGACGACTTGACTATTGAGTCGACTCAAAAGTCACCTCGTGTGCAGAGCTGGGTGGTGGTGGGACGACTTGACTATTGAGTCGACTCAAAAGTCACCTCGTGTGCAGAGCTGGGTGGTGGTGGGACGACTTGACTATTGAGTCGACTCAAAAGTCACCTCGTGTGCAGAGCTGGGTGGTGGTGGGACGACTTGACTATTGAGTCGACTCAAAATTCACCTCGTGTGCAGAGCTGGGTGGTGGTGGGACGACTTGACTATTGAGTCGACTCAAAAGTCACCTCGTGTGCAGAGCTGGGTGGTGGTGGGACGACTTGACTATTGAGTCGACTCAAAAGTCACCTCGTGTGCAGAGCTGGGTGGTGGTGGGACGACTTGACTATTGAGTCGACTCAAAAGTCACCTCGTGTGCAGAGCTGGGTGGTGGTGGGACGACTTGACTATTGAGTCGACTCAAAAGTCACCTCGTGTGCAGAGCTGGGTGGTGGTGGGACGACTTGACTATTGAGTCGACTCAAAAGTCACCTCGTGTGCAGAGCTGGGTGGTGGTGGGACGACTTGACTATTGAGTCGACTCAAAAGTCACCTCGTGTGCAGAGCTGGGTGGTGGTGGGACGACTTGACTATTGAGTCGACTCAAAAGTCACCTCGTGTGCAGAGCTGGGTGGTGGTGGGACGACTTGACTATTGAGTCGACTCAAAAGTCACCTCGTGTGCAGAGCTGGGTGGTGGTGGGACGACTTGACTATTGAGTCGACTCAAAAGTCACCTCGTGTGCAGAGCTGGGTGGTGGTGGGACGACTTGACTATTGAGTCGACTCAAAAGTCACCTCGTGTGCAGAGCTGGGTGGTGGTGGGACGACTTGACTATTGAGTCGACTCAAAAGTCACCTCGTGTGCAGAGCTGGGTGGTGGTGGGACGACTTGACTATTGAGTCGACTCAAAAGTCACCTCGTGTGCAGAGCTGGGTGGTGGTGGGACGACTTGACTATTGAGTCGACTCAAAAGTCACCTCGTGTGCAGAGCTGGGTGGTGGTGGGACGACTTGACTATTGAGTCGACTCAAAAGTCACCTCGTGTGCAGAGCTGGGTGGTGGTGGGACGACTTGACTATTGAGTCGACTCAAAAGTCACCTCGTGTGCAGAGCTGGGTGGTGGTGGGACGACTTGACTATTGAGTCGACTCAAAAGTCACCTCGTGTGCAGAGCTGGGTGGTGGTGGGACGACTTGACTATTGAGTCGACTCAAAAGTCACCTCGTGTGCAGAGCTGGGTGGTGGTGGGACGACTTGACTATTGAGTCGACTCAAAAGTCACCTCGTGTGCAGAGCTGGGTGGTGGTGGGACGACTTGACTATTGAGTCGACTCAAAAGTCACCTCGTGTGCAGAGCTGGGTGGTGGTGGGACGACTTGACTATTGAGTCGACTCAAAAGTCACCTCGTGTGCAGAGCTGGGTGGTGGTGGGACGACTTGACTATTGAGTCGACTCAAAAGTCACCTCGTGTGCAGAGCTGGGTGGTGGTGGGACGACTTGACTATTGAGTCGACTCAAAAGTCACCTCGTGTGCAGAGCTGGGTGGTGGTGGGACGACTTGACTATTGAGTCGACTCAAAAGTCACCTCGTGTGCAGAGCTGGGTGGTGGTGGGACGACTTGACTATTGAGTCGACTCAAAAGTCACCTCGTGTGCAGAGCTGGGTGGTGGTGGGACGACTTGACTATTGAGTCGACTCAAAAGTCACCTCGTGTGCAGAGCTGGGTGGTGGTGGGACGACTTGACTATTGAGTCGACTCAAAAGTCACCTCGTGTGCAGAGCTGGGTGGTGGTGGGACGACTTGACTATTGAGTCGACTCAAAAGTCACCTCGTGTGCAGAGCTGGGTGGTGGTGGGACGACTTGACTATTGAGTCGACTCAAAAGTCACCTCGTGTGCAGAGCTGGGTGGTGGTGGGACGACTTGACTATTGAGTCGACTCAAAAGTCACCTCGTGTGCAGAGCTGGGTGGTGGTGGGACGACTTGACTATTGAGTCGACTCAAAAGTCACCTCGTGTGCAGAGCTGGGTGGTGGTGGGACGACTTGACTATTGAGTCGACTCAAAAGTCACCTCGTGTGCAGAGCTGGGTGGTGGTGGGACGACTTGACTATTGAGTCGACTCAAAAGTCACCTCGTGTGCAGAGCTGGGTGGTGGTGGGACGACTTGACTATTGAGTCGACTCAAAAGTCACCTCGTGTGCAAAGCTGGGTGGTGGTGGGACGACTTGACTATTGAGTCGACTCAAAAGTCACCTCGTATGCAGAGCTGGGTGGTGGTGGGACGACTTGACTATTGAGTCGACTCAAAAGTCACCTCGTGTGCAGAGCTGGGTGGTGGTGGGACGACTTGACTATTGAGTCGACTCAAAAGTCACCTCGTGTGCAGAGCTGGGTGGTGGTGGGACGACTTGACTATTGAGTCGACTCAAAAGTCACCTCGTGTGCAGAGCTGGGTGGTGGTGGGACGACTTGACTATTGAGTCGACTCAAAAGTCACCTCGTGTGCAGAGCTGGGTGGTGGTGGGACGACTTGACTATTGAGTCGACTCAAAAGTCACCTCGTGTGCAGAGCTGGGTGGTGGTGGGACGACTTGACTATTGAGTCGACTCAAAAGTCACCTCGTGTGCAGAGCTGGGTGGTGGTGGGACGACTTGACTATTGAGTCGACTCAAAAGTCACCTCGTGTGCAGAGCTGGGTGGTGATGGGACGACTTGACTATTGAGTCGACTCAAAAGTCACCTCGTGTGCAGAGCTGGGTGGTGGTGGGACGACTTGACTATTGAGTCGACTCAAAAGTCACCTCGTGTGCAGAGCTGGGTGGTGGTGGGACGACTTGACTATTGAGTCGACTCAAAAGTCACCTCGTGTGCAGAGCTGGGTGGTGGTGGGACGACTTGACTATTGAGTCGACTCAAAAGTCACCTCGTGTGCAGAGCTGGGTGGTGGTGGGACGACTTGACTATTGAGTCGACTCAAAAGTCACCTCGTATGCAGAGCTGGGTGGTGGTGGGACGACTTGACTATTGAGTCGACTCAAAAGTCACCTCGTGTGCAGAGCTGGGTGGTGGTGGGACGACTTGACTATTGAGTCGACTCAAAAGTCACCTCGTGTGCAGAGCTGGGTGGTGGTGGGACGACTTGACTATTGAGTCGACTCAAAAGTCACCTCGTGTGCAGAGCTGGGTGGTGGTGGGACGACTTGACTATTGAGTCGACTCAAAAGTCACCTCGTGTGCAGAGCTGGGTGGTGGTGGGACGACTTGACTATTGAGTCGACTCAAAAGTCACCTCGTGTGCAGAGCTGGGTGGTGGTGGGACGACTTGACTATTGAGTCGACTCAAAAGTCACCTCGTGTGCAGAGCTGGGTGGTGGTGGGACGACTTGACTATTGAGTCGACTCAAAAGTCACCTCGTGTGCAGAGCTGGGTGGTGGTGGGACGACTTGACTATTGAGTCGACTCAAAAGTCACCTCGTGTGCAGAGCTGGGTGGTGGTGGGACGACTTGACTATTGAGTCGACTCAAAAGTCACCTCGTGTGCAGAGCTGGGTGGTGGTGGGACGACTTGACTATTGAGTCGACTCAAAAGTCACCTCGTGTGCAGAGCTGGGTGGTGGTGGGACGACTTGACTATTGAGTCGACTCAAAAGTCACCTCGTGTGCAGAGCTGGGTGGTGGTGGGACGACTTGACTATTGAGTCGACTCAAAAGTCACCTCGTGTGCAGAGCTGGGTGGTGGTGGGACGACTTGACTATTGAGTCGACTCAAAAGTCACCTCGTGTGCAGAGCTGGGTGGTGGTGAGACGACTTGACTATTGAGTCGACTCAAAAGTCACCTCGTGTGCAGAGCTGGGTGGTGGTGGGACGACTTGACTATTGAGTCGACTCAAAAGTCACCTCGTGTGCAGAGCTGGGTGGTGGTGGGACGACTTGACTATTGAGTCGACTCAAAAGTCACCTCGTGTGCAGAGCTGGGTGGTGGTGGGACGACTTGACTATTGAGTCGACTCAAAAGTCACCTCGTGTGCAGAGCTGGGTGGTGGTGAGACGACTTGACTATTGAGTCGACTCAAAAGTCACCTCGTGTGCAGAGCTGGGTGGTGGTGGGACGACTTGACTATTGAGTCGACTCAAAAGTCACCTCGTGTGCAGAGCTGGGTGGTGGTGGGACGACTTGACTATTGAGTCGACTCAAAAGTCACCTCGTGTGCAGAGCTGGGTGGTGGTGAGACGACTTGACTATTGAGTCGACTCAAAAGTCACCTCGTGTGCAGAGCTGGGTGGTGGTGAGACGACTTGACTATTGAGTCGACTCAAAAGTCACCTCGTGTGCAGAGCTGGGTGGTGGTGAGACGACTTGACTATTGAGTCGACTCAAAAGTCACCTCGTGTGCAGAGCTGGGTGGTGGTGAGACGACTTGACTATTGAGTCGACTCAAAAGTCACCTCGTGTGCAGAGCTGGGTGGTGGTGAGACGACTTAAAGCCCATGTCGCACCCACATCCTCTTGTCCGCCAAGTAACCTGCCATGCAGTGTTGCGCAAGGCGGGCGATGCACGTGCAGAGCTGTGTGATCCGGTGGAGAGGCAGGCCGTAGAGCTGCTGGTGTGAGTGAGGAGAGGAGATCACTTAAAGCCCAATCAGCACCCAACCCACCCCCTCTTGTCTACCAGATAACGTGCCATGCAGTGTCGCGCAAGGCCAACGATGCACGCGCAGAGCTGTGCGAGGCGGTGGAGCGGCAGGCCATAGAGCTGCTCGTGGTGGGCTCACGAGGGCTGGGCACCCTGTCCAGGTGAGTGTGCTGGCGTTGTCGTGTGTCCCACATGGGCCTCAGCCATTAGAGCTGGCGGTGGAGAGGCAGGCCATAGAGCTGCATATGGTGTGCTCCCAAGGGCTGGGCACCCTGTCCAGGTGAGTGTGTGTGTGTGTGTGTGTGTGTGTGTGTGTGTGTGTGTGTGTGTGTGTGTGTGTGTGTGTGTGTGTGTGTGTGTGTGTGTGTGTGCTGGCGTGTCATGTATCTCTCTCACCTCGAACCTCATCTATCAGGATGGGTGTCAAGTGACAGGCATAGAACTGCTCGTGGTGGGCTCCCGAGGGCTGAGCACCCTGTCCAGGTGGGTGGCAGTGCTGGGTTCGGTTCTGTGCCTGCATGTCGCTCTCATCTCACCTGTGCCTGCATGTCGCTCTCATCTCACCTGTGCCTGCATGTCGCTCTCATCTCACCTGTGCCTGCATGTCGCTCTCATCTCACCCGTGCAACAGGCCATAGAGCTGCTCGTGGTGGGGTCAAGAGGGCTAGGAGCTGTGTCCAGGTGGGTGGGTGTGTGTGTGTGTGTGTGTGTGTGTGTGTGTGTGTGTGTGTGTGTGTGTGTGTGTGTGTGTGTGTGTGTGTGTGTGTGTGTGTGTATCTGTGTTGGCGTGTCATGTATCTCACATCTGACCTCCGCTGTCTATGATGGGTGTGGAGCGGCAGGCCATATTGCTGCTCGTGGTCCGCTTCAGATGGCTGGGGCCATGTCCTTGTACCCTGGGGCTCGGCACCCTGTCCTTGTCCAGGTGAGAGTGCTGGCGTCTGTGCTGGCATCTGTGCTGGCGTCTGTGCTGGCGTCTGTGCTGGCGTCTGTGCTGGCGTCTGTGCTGGCGTCTGTGCTGGCGTTGTCGTATGTTCCACATGGGCCTCAGCCATTCGGACTGGCGGTGGAGAGGCAGGCCATAGAGCTGCACGTGGTGTGCTCATGAGGGCAGGGCGCCGTATCCAGGTGGGACCGTGTGTGGCTGTTTGGTGCCGTTTTCCTTTCCTCTAGAAACGGTTTGTAAGCAGCAGGCCGTTGAGCAGGCTGGGTGTTGTGTCCAGGTGAGACCGTGTGGATCTGAGCTGGCAGGCAAGTTTCTTTCCTCTCACTTTTACCCTCCATCGGGCAAAGGGTTTTGTGAATGACAGGTGGTTGGGCTGCTGGCCTTAGGGTCCCAAGGGTTGGGTGTCATATGCAGGTGGGGATGCTTGCTTGATATCACCCACCGCATAGCAAGTATTCATAGATCGCACATGGAAGCTTGATCACACATGTCCTCCCTCCGGTGCTCATTTGCCAAGTGTTGTGTTTTTCTTTCTTTTTGTTTTCCTATTTAAATCGCTTGCTGTCGCAGAGCCATGCTTGGGAGTGTGAGCGACTATTTGATCCACAACGCGGCTTGTCCAGTGTTGGTTGTGCCCAATCCATTCCAACAGTGAACATGTCATATTTTGTTTGTGTATAATAATAGTATAGCATCCGCGCATCTCTTCATTATTGATATGCAATCGTTTCCCCATTACTTGCTGATGAGGTCAGGGCTGACGTTTCAGATTAGGCCTCCCTGATTCCGGGGAAAATTTCCCCCCTCTATTATGAGTGCACATTTTTCAGAATGATGCTACCCTGATTGCTCAGGGTTGAAAAGTATGTAACTCTGATTGTTCAGGGTCGAAAATCGAAGATCAGAGTAGTAACGCACCCTTTTTTACCGAGGAAGAAGTCTCGCTTTGTGTTAAAGCGACGGTGCACATTTGCCACCCAAAACCCAGAACCCTGGCGAACTGTTACTGCAGATGAAAAGTGTCTGCACGAAATCCTGGTTTTCGCCAGCCAACACTTTCGCGCTGGCAAGCCTGGTTCAAAAAAAAAACTTCTGAACCCAACACTGCCAAAAGTTGCCCGTCGCTTTAAGGACGCGTCACCTCTAGCACCGATCGTGCGATTTTTGGCTCGCAGGTTCGATTTTTGGCGGGGTTAGAAAAGTTTCGGAAAGTTTTAGAAGCACTAATCAAGGTTTCAGTACGGGGAGATCGATTTTTGCAGGATCGAGCCAAAGGGGACGCGTCCTAGGTCTGCGCTCTATTTTCGCGCACACCTTGTGCGCGCTAATTTCTATCCTTTTTGTTTTACAAACAGTATTTATTTACACGTTTTAGCGCGGGGAAGAGACGAGCGATTTCGGTCAACCAAACATTTCGATTCGATACCACAGATGTGCCAAATTTTTAATTCGCCGAGTACCAACGCAGTGTGTCAACGCGAAAAAAAGTCTGGTAACTTCACACACACGCAATTACGACAGTAGAACGACCTATTCAGAATGCGTGAAAGCATCAAAAAATGAGTGTACTCAACTGTCAGACATGCTGCTGTCCGTCGCTCACGCGCTGGCTGTCCCGCGATCAATCCGAAGGGGGATATCGGAAGAAAATTTCTAGTAACCTTCAATCCGATACCCTCGCATTCAGGGTACACAGGACGCGTACTCTACATTGACAGAGTCAGTAAGAACACTACTCTGAGCCTGGATACAAGATTTCAGGGTTCGCTAAAGTCCTTATCTGAATGGATCAGAGTTCACAAGTCACAAATTCTGAAATGGCAGGGACCACCAAGTGACAAGCCTGTAATCACCCTGAAATCAGGGTAATTACCCTGATAAAAACAGCCCTGGATGAGGTGTCTATCTTGCCAGCCTTAGCTCACTTGCATTTATAACAGTTAAAGTACACAAAGACGCTTATCTCGAGGACTCCTGTTGTGTCTCCCTACGCCCTCGGCTCAGATGCCGTCCAAATACTCCCCGGACAAAGGCTGAGCACGGTATGAAGGGTTTCAGAGAGATAACAACGTTTTGCAGTACGGTAACGGTAGCACACAAAGAACTCGGTTCCAGGTTCCATCAACCCCCTGCAGGCTGTCATCCGCGCTTGGAAAACATTTGCCGCTTTCCCGCCAAAACAGTGGTGTTCTCCTGCAAGCCTCCAACCAGCATCCAGCCCAGAACCACACATCGCTATGGCGCTACGAGGCTGCGATTATGGACCGTCCGTCGATTAGCCTGTCCGCCTCGGTCGCGATATGAACTTTGACGATGGTCGCAACGTAATCCGTGTCTTTATCCGAATCATGCCGCCATTCCATCATTCTGTGTCTCACATTCCTCAAGCCAACGCGAGAATGATCCACGTGTCACATTGACCTTCCGTAGTTTACGCCGTCATTTGCGGCCGGATTCCAGTAAAAATCGCGGACGAGACTCCGCAATGGCAGGCCGGCGCCGCGCGTCGTTTCCGGCGATGTCGCTTGTCAAGTACTTACTTCCCGCGTACTACCTCCGCCGGCCGAAGCGCCTCTTCGTCCTCTCGTTTCTCCTCATCGCGGGGATGTTCCTCCTCCTGCGCCGGCAGCACAAAGCGCGCCAAGTGAAGGTGCGGTCGAAGTGGTTCGCTCGGCAGTTAGGCTCGGTTAGAGAAGCTAGGTTCGGGTTGGAGCTACCTGGCTCAACTGAAGTGAAACTTTACTTAGCACGTCACTTTCAGATGGAGCTAGGGTCGGCCAAACCTACGTTTTGCCGAACCTACGTTTTGAGCTGAAGCCAGGTTTATCGTAGCCGTTAGGTGCCAGATTCTAGTCGAGTCGATGCGATCAAGTTGCATTCCTTCATGTTAATCTCAAGTGACATTCGCGATCCATATTCCGCTCTATCCGGGACCCTGGATAGGTCTGCCTCCCTCTCTTCTCCCCTCAGTCCCTCTTCTCCCTCTCCATCTTCCCGTCACCCCCCTTCCTTCATACGCTTCTCCCGTTTTCTTCAATTCTTCCGCAGCAACCAAAACTCCCGAACACCACCCATACACACACCTTCATCCAACCCCACAAGCACCTTCATTCAACCCGCAAGCACCTCCAAACACCCCACGCACTGATGGCAGGCGCTCGCAGCGAGAGTGCAGGCGCTTCACAGCCAGAAGCAGAGCATGGTGGCCGAGGTGAGCCTCTCTTTAAGGTGAGACTCGTTACAAGGTGAGACTCGCTATAAGGTGAGCCTAGCTATAAGGTGACGCGAATCTCGCTCTAAGGAGAGGCTCGATACAAGGTGAGACTCATTACAAACGTAGACTCGCTGTAGGGTAAGACTGACTCAGTATAAGCTGACTCAGATTGCCCTTTGCTATTCTATATCGGCACCGGGAGCAGCTAATTTATCCAACTTTGATATTGCAACCCCTATATCGCCTGGTAATGCTAGCTGAAAAGGTCGCATATGATCTGAGATCACATGGGGAGCCAAATCAAAGGCGGAAGTGCATCTTTCATCCTCTCCTGTTTATGAACACTTCATGTTCGTTATTGAGCATGTTTTGAGGCTCCTTAATGCATCGTGCTTGGATACCACCCCCTTCCCCTCCTGCCATTCCGTGACGGCGTTCCCCATGTTGCCCCTTTTCGTTTTTCCCTTTGGCAGCTGGAAAAGGCGCGCAGGGGAGCACTTGGGACGTCCAAGGAGGGAGAGGAAGAGGAGGAGGCAGGGGAGGAAGAGGCATTCGTTCCTTTCCGTGTTGTGCCTGCCTATGAACATTTTGAGACTCTTCAAACGCCACCCACCCTCCGCCACCTCCCCTTTCTCGCCCTCCAATCGTTCCCCTGTGGCAGCTGGAAACAACACGTAGCGGTGCAAATGGGTGTGCCACGGAGGGGGAAGAGGCAGGAGAGGAGGAGCAGTCGTTTCGAGTTATGCCTGTGAACCTTTTGAGACCCCTCAAAGGCACCTCCGCCTCCCCCCCTCCCCCCCGGTTCTTCCCCTGTGGCAGCTGGAAAAGACGCGTAGAGGAGCACATGGGAGTGCCAAGGAGGGGGAAGAGGCGGGGGAGGAGGAGCAGTCGTTTCGCGTCGTACCTGTGAACCTGAGAGGGCGAGGGCGAGCAGGAGTGGGCGAACGAGTGAGAGGTGGAGGGAGAAGAGGAGGGAGAGGCGGAGGGAGAGGCGGAGAGGTGGACGGGAGGGGAGGAGAGGGGAGGAGGAGACGCAGGGGACGAGCTAGAAGGAAGAGAAGGAGGAGGAGGAGAGGGGGCGCGGGGGGAGGTAGATTGAGGGGAGCAGTGGTGGGTGGGGATGGGCAGGATGGGGAAGGGAGGGGGAGGGTGATTAGAGAGGAGGAGGAGGAGGAGGGGGGAGACGGGTGGAGGAGAAAAGGGAGGCGATACGAGAGGCGATGGCGCATGCATGGAAGGGGTATCGACAGTATGCATGGGGCATGGATGAACTTCAGGTGCGAGCAGGTCTGGAGTGGTTGAGATGGGTGATGATGGCGCATGCATGCATGGAAGGGGTACATGCAGTATGCATGATGGGTAGTGATGGCGTGATGGCATAATGGGATGCCCCGTCCCCTGTGTCTCCCTGCATCCCTCCATCCCCCCCCTGCCACCTGTGCTGTCCTCCCTCCATCCCCCCCTGCCACCTGTGCTGTCCTCCCTGCATCCCCGTGATAAAAGTGATGTTTTGAGACGTCTCAAAACCCCCCCTGCCACCTGTGCTGTCCTCCCTGCATCCCCCCACACCCGCCACCAGCCGCGCACCAAGACTGGGGCGAACCACTTTGGCGGGCTGGGGTTGACCATCGTTGACTCGCTTGACTCGCTCTACCTCATGGGGCTCACGAAGGAGTTTGATGAGGCCAAGAGGTATGCAGTGCAGTGCGATGCGGTGTTGTGTGGAGTGGTGTTTTGTGGTGTGGTGAGGTATGGCGTAGTGCGATTGACATTCATTGACTCGCTCTCTACCTCATGGGGCTCACCAAAGAGTTCGACGAGGCCACGAGGTATTCAATGTGGTGCGGTGTGGTGAGATTGACAACAGTTGACTCGCTCTACCTCATAGAGCCACGAGGTAAACGATGCGGTGAGGTGTGGTGCGATGTGGTATAGTGAGATTGAGAATATTTGACTCGCTCTACCTCATGAGGCTTGTGCAGGAATTCGGCAAGGCCAAAACAACATGATGCGGTGCGGTACGGTGTGGTACAGCACTGTATGATGTGATATTATTGTGTTATGTGGTGTAACGGGCTTAACCACTGGATAGATAGAGAGCACGGGTAGAGATGGGCAGTGGGCGAGGTGTGAGGACGCGACTGTTCTACTCAGACTACTCGACTTGTTTTGGATGGCTTCCTCTGAGTAGAAAGGGATGTGAGTAGTAGTACTCAAGGGGAGTGGATTTCCGAATGGCCTGCCTCATTACTCGCGTTGTTGGGCGATCGATTTTCACTTGTCACAAGGCAAGCGTTACTCACTCGTCTTGTTTCATAATCACACCTTGATGCTCTCTTTTTCCTATGGACCGTTCATCATCGCGCCTTTTTGTCTCTCTTGTCAAATCCTCAGAACTCCGTTTTGTCTCTCTTGTGTTTTGCTTATCGGCCTATAATGCTCTCTTGTCTTTCTTGTCTGTTCCTCATAAGCTGGATTCAGGAGAATCTCTTCTTTGAGCGAGACTACGATGCCAACGTCTTTGAGACCACCATTCGGTACGTACATAACTGCCTAGCAACGAAAAGTGTGGATCGCAGTAGCTAGAGCTAAATTGACGTAGTTTGGGTGCAGGAGAGTAATGGATCAGTATCATGAAGTGTGTGACTTCATTCTCTGCGCTGCACTGCAAACCGCGTGACTCCACGCCATCATTGGATATAGCGTTTTCGTCACAAATCACATGTGTGTGGTACAGCAACTTTCGTGTGTGATTTCGCCATGTGTGTGCGCTGCTGTTCGAATGCACTGACTGACTCGTGCCAATCCAATGGGCGGCACGATTGTTTTCATGATGACAATACAAATTAAGGTAAAGAAGAACGTAAAAGGTTATGGATTTCAATCAATGGGTGTAGTTTTGTTCTCATCAATCAATTTTGTTGCAAAAAGAACTCATTACGGCCCAATTGACGATCATTTGTTTCCATAGCTTCGATAAAAAAAGGAAAGCAATGTTCCTAACGCTGCTAACCCTTCCAATCACTTACTCTCCCCACCTTTCCTCTCTGCCTCCCTCCCTCCTCCCTCTCCCTTCCAGCTACTGGGCGGGCTACTGAATACATACGATCTCTCAGGTGACCCAATGCCGCTGGCCAAAGCGAGGGAGCTCGCAGACAAAATGCTGCTGGCCTGCCAGTCACTTTCTTCCCTCCCTCTCCTCCTCCTCTCCATCCCCTCCCCTTTTCTGCGCTCTCCCCTCTCTCCCTTCCAGCATACTGGACGGGCTACTGAGTGCGTACGATCTCTCAGGAGATCCAATGCTGCTGGCCAAAGCAAAGGAGCTCGCAGACAAGCTGCTGCCAGCCTTCAGAGCAACCACTCCTTTTCCTCCTTCCTACTCCTTCCTCTCTCTCCCCCTTCTCTTCCAGCATTCTGGGCGGGCTACTGAGTGCATACGACCTGTCAGGCGACCCAATGCTGCTCGCCAAAGCAAGGGAGCTCGCAGACAAGCTGCTGCCAGCCTTCTCCACTCCCACGGGCATCCCCCTCGCCTTTGTCAACCTCGCCAGTGGCACCGCACGCTCGCACGGGTGGACCGGGGTGAGTGGGTGCTCTCAGATTGCTCCAGACGCACGCTCACAGGGGGCTGGAGCGTAGAGGTGAGGGACAAGCTCCTGCCAGCCGTCTCCCTCCACGCCCACACAGGCACCCCTCTTGCCTTTGTCAACCTCGCCAGTGCCATTGCGCACTCGCATGGGTGGACTGGGGTGGGGTGAGTGGATGCTCTGAGCTCGCTCTTGGGGTGCACGGCACGCATAGGGGCTGGAGCTTAGAGGTGGGGAACACGCCGCTGCCAGCCTTCTCCCCCCACTCCCACAGGCATCCCACTCGCCTTTGTCAACCTTGCCAATGGCATTGCGCGCTCACACGTGTGGACTGGGGTGAGTGGGTGCTCTTGTCTCGCTCTAGGAGCACGAGCATAGTGGGCTGGGCTGGGCTGGGCTGGGCTGGGCTGGGCTGGAGAGGTATTGGCACTTGCGCGGGCCGCCACCCCCCCAATCTGTGCCCACACCCATTCAATCGTGTCGTGAATGATGGGGAGGGGATGGCGACGGCTCCCTTTTCACTCGCGCCTGCAAGTTGTCTGTCCTGTTCCCCTCATCCCTTCGCCCATTCGTTGCCAGCGCCCCGCAATGCTGGCAGGCCTGGGCTCTACACATTCTTTCTCACCACCATGTGTGTTCCCCTCATCACTTCCCCGTCCATGCGCCCATTCGTTGCCAGCGCCCCGCCATGCGGGCAGATCTAGGCTCAACGCAGCTAGAGATGGTGGCGCTCTCTCAGCTTACCGTCGTTCTGACTTGCCTGCCTTTCCGTCCCCCTTGCCTCCCCTCCCATTCCCCCAGCGCTCCGCAATTCTGGCAGACCTTGGCTCCACACAGCTCGAGATGGTGGTGCTGTCTCAGCGCACGGGCGATCCCAAATACGCCAACGCCGTACGCACCTCCCCTCCCCTCCTTCCACGCACCTCCCCTCCCCTCCTTCCACGCACCTCCCCTCCCCTCCTTCCACGCATCCCCTCCCCTCCTTCCACGCACCTCCTTCCACGCACCTCCCCTCCCCTCCTTCCACGCACCTCCCCTCCCTCCTTCCACGCACCTCCCCTCCCCTCCTTCCACGCACCTCCCCTCCCCTCCTTCCACGCACCTCCCCTCCCCTCCTTCCACGCACCTCCCCTCCCCTCCTTCCACGCACCTCCCCTCCCCTCCTTCCACGCACCTCCCCTCCCCTCCTTCCACGCACCTCCCCTCCCCTCCTTCCACGCACCTCCCCTCCCCTCCTTCCACGCACCTCCCCTCCCCTCCTTCCACGCACCTCCCCTCCCCTCCTTCCACGCACCTCCCCTCCCCTCCTTCCACGCACCTCCCCTCCCCTCCTTCCACGCACCTCCCCTCCCCTCCTTCCACGCACCTCCCCTCCCCTCCTTCCACGCACCTCCCCTCCCCTCCTTCCACGCACCTCCCCTCCCCTCCTTCCACGCACCTCCCCTCCCCTCCTTCCACGCACCTCCCCTCCCCTCCTTCCACGCACCTCCCCTCCCCTCCTTCCACGCACCTCCCCTCCCCTCCTTCCACGCACCTCCCCTCCCCTCCTTCCACGCACCTCCCCTCCCCTCCTTCCACGCACCTCCCCTCCCCTCCTTCCACGCACCTCCCCTCCCCTCCTTCCACGCACCTCCCCTCCCCTCCTTCCACGCACCTCCCCTCCCCTCCTTCCACGCACCTCCCCTCCCCTCCTTCCACGCACCTCCCCTCCCCTCCTTCCACGCACCTCCCCTCCCCTCCTTCCACGCACCTCCCCTCCCCTCCTTCCACGCACCTCCCCTCCCCTCCTTCCACGCACCTCCCCTCCCCTTCCACGCACCTCCCCTCCCCTCCTTCCACGCACCTCCCCTCCCCTCCTTCCACGCACCTCCCCTCCCCTCCTTCCACGCACCTCCCCTCCCCTCCTTCCACGCACCTCCCCTCCCCTCCTTCCACGCACCTCCCCTCCCCTCCTTCCACGCACCTTCCATTCTCTGCTTTCACTCTCTCAACGCACCGGCGATCCCAAATACGCCAATGCTGTACGCACCTCCCCTTCCCTCTCCTCCCCCCCTCACCTTCCATCCACGCACCTCCCCTGCTCTCCCATTCTTCCACGTACCTTTCATTCTCTCCTTTCACTCTTTCAGCGCATTGGCGATATCAAATACGCAAATGTTGTATGCACCTCCTCTTTCCACACACCTCCCCTCCCCTCCCCTCCCCTCCCCTCCCCTCCCCTCCCCTCCCCTCCCCTCCCCTCCCCTCCCCTTCCCCCCCCACCCCTCCCCTTTCCTCCTACGCACGCCCTCTCCCGTCTCCTCCTTCCACGCACCTCCCCTTCCTTCTTTTTGAAAAGCCTCTCTCCCATGCAACAAACATCCCTGTCTCGCTACTCTTTCCATTCAGATTTTTCCTCGTAAAACCTCTTCTCGTTTTGTGGAACATTTGTGGATCCGCCTCTTGGCACGGCACAACGCCTCTGGCTTGTTGAACCTCTTCTCCTCACTTCTTTTCTCCTCTCCTCCCCTCCGCCTCTTGGCACGGCACAACGCCTCTGGCTTGTTGAACCTCTTCTCCTCACTTCTTTTCTCCTCTCCTCCCCTCCGCCTCTTGGCACGGCACAACGCCTCTGGCTTGTTGAACCTCTTCTCCTCACTTCTTTTCTCCTCTCCTCCCCTCCGCCTCTTGGCACGGCACAACGCCTCTGGCTTGTTGAACCTCTTCTCCTCACTTCTTTTCTCCTCTCCTCCCCTCCGCCTCTTGGCACGGCACAACGCCTCTGGCTTGTTGAACCTCTTCTCCTCACTTCTTTTCTCCTCTCCTCCCCTCCGCCTCTTGGCACGGCACAACGCCTCTGCCTTGTTGAACCTCTTCTCCTCACTTCTTTTCTCCTCTCCTCCCCTCCGCCTCTTGGCACGGCACAACGCCTCTGGCTTGTTGAACCTCTTCTCCTCACTTCTTTTCTCCTCTCCTCCCCTCCGCCTCTTGGCACGGCACAACGCCTCTGGCTTGTTGAACCTCTTCTCCTCACTTCTTTTCTCCTCTCCTCCTCTCCGCCTCTTGGCACGGCACAACGCCTCTGGCTTGTTGAACCTCTTCTCCTCACTTCTTTTCTCCTCTCCTCCCCTCCGCCTCTTGGCACGGCACAACGCCTCTGGCTTGTTGAACCTCTTCTCCTCACTTCTTTTCTCCTCTCCTCCCCTCCGCCTCTTGGCACGGCACAACGCCTCTGGCTTGTTGAACCTCTTCTCCTCACTTCTTTTCTCCTCTCCTCCCCTCCGCCTCTTGGCACGGCACAACGCCTCTGGCTTGTTGAACCTCTTCTCCTCACTTCTTTTCTCCTCTCCTCCCCTCCGCCTCTTGGCACGGCACAACGCCTCTGGCTTGTTGAACCTCTTCTCCTCACTTCTTTTCTCCTCTCCTCCCCTCCGCCTCTTGGCACGGCACAACGCCTCTGCCTTGTTGAACCTCTTCTCCTCACTTCTTTTCTCCTCTCCTCCCCTCCGCCTCTTGGCACGGCACAACGCCTCTGGCTTGTTGAACCTCTTCTCCTCACTTCTTTTCTCCTCTCCTCCCCTCCGCCTCTTGGCACGGCACAACGCCTCTGGCTTGTTGAACCTCTTCTCCTCACTTCTTTTCTCCTCTCCTCCTCTCCGCCTCTTGGCACGGCACAACGCCTCTGGCTTGTTGAACCTCTTCTCCTCACTTCTTTTCTCCTCTCCTCCCCTCCGCCTCTTGGCACGGCACAACGCCTCTGGCTTGTTGAACCTCTTCTCCTCACTTCTTTTCTCCTCTCCTCCCCTCCGCCTCTTGGCACGGCACAACGCATCTGGCTTGTTGAACCTCTTCTCCTCACTTCTTTTCTCCTCTCCTCCCCTCCGCCTCTTGGCACGGCACAACGCCTCTGGCTTGTTGAACCTCTTCTCCTCACTTCTTTTCTCCTCTCCTCCCCTCCGCCTCTTGTTGGCCTGCCTGCCCAGTCGGAGCACGTCATCCGTCAGATCGCCAAGATCTTTCCATCCGACGGTCTGCTGCCAGTGCTCATCAGCACCACCACCGGCAAGCCCACTTCTCGCCACATCACAATGGGGTCCATGGGGGACAGGTGAGATGCGGTGAAGTGCTGTGAGAGGCGGCGGGATGCGGTGAGATGAGGTGAAGAGCGGTTAGGCATGGTGTTCAGACAGATCACTGCCACTGGCAAGCCCACCTCTCGCCAGATCACGCTTGGCTCTATAGGGGATAGGTGGGATACGGTGAAGCGTGGTACCGTTTCTGGATGTGCTGGACCTAAAGGTACCATTCCTCTTTAGTTTCTCAAAGCAAAAAAAAAAAAAAAAAAAAAAAAAAAACTGTATTTCCTCCACCCCATTCTGTCTAACCCCCCTCCCCCACCACAACCCCCCCCCCCCCCCCCCCCCCCCCCCTTTCCTCTTTTTACTCCCCATCAGTTTCTACGAGTATTTACTCAAGATGTGGGTGCAAGGCGGAGGCACACCCTATGTTCAACGATACAGGTGAATGAGGGTACATCAAACATTCAGCATGCCTTTCCAGGGTATTAGTTTGAAGGTCCTAAAAAACCGGGTGTGTTAATTGCTTTTACCCATGTCTCATATCATTTCTCTCAGAGCAGCTGTGAGTTTCCTGTTAGTGCAAAGGTTTCCTCCCTGGTCTTGTTATCTTACCCCTCCCCACCGCTCGTCACCACTCTCCACCTACAGGGACATGTGGGAGAAATCCATGAGTGGAATGATGGCAAAGCTGATTCACCATTCCCCGGCTGCGAACACCACTACCGCCACTACCACCACCACTGCAACCAACACCAGCACCACCACCACTAGCAGCACCAGTGACAGCAGCAGCAGCAGCAGCAGCAGCAGCAGCAGCAGCAGCAGCAGCAGCAGTGCTGGCATTAGCAGCAGCGGTGGCAGCAGCAGTGACAGCAGCAGCAGCAGCAGAGTGGCGTATGTGGCGGAGATGCACGCGGGGAAGGTAGAGCACAAGATGGAGCACGTGACGTGCTTTGTGGCTGGCATGCTGGTGCTGGGGGCTCAGACCGTGGCAGAGGGGAGTGAACACACCGAAGCTTACATGGAGCTTGCAAAAGATGTGAGTGATCTCTTTTGTATGTATAGCAGCTCTAGCAGCCGCAAGGCTGGTAGCGGCAGCACTGGCAGCAGCAGTGGCAGCGGTGGCAGCGGTGGCGGAGTGGCGTATGTGGCGGAAATGCATGCAGGCAAGGTAGAGCACGTGACGTGCTTCTTGGCTGGCATGCTGGTGCTGGGCGCTCAGACCGTGGCGGAGGGGAGTGAACACACCGAAGCTTACATGCGGCTGGCTAAAGCGGTGAGAGGGAGTGATGGAAGTGGAAGGAGGAGTGGGGAAGGGGGGAGAGGGTGCTTTGTGGCGGGCATGCTGGTGCTGGGCGCTCAGACTGTTGCAGAGGGGAGTGAACACACTGAAGCTTACATGAGGCTAGCTAAGGAGGTGAGAGGGAGAGGTACAAACGGGGAAGGAGGTAGTGCTGCATGTCCCGCAGGAGTTGCTGTGAGTTGACTGAAAGCTCGTTGTGAAAAGGCAGGTGAATGTCATGTCACGTAGGCCACGCGATAAAGGTAGTGTTTTGAGACGTCTCACGCGGCACTACCTCAGAGCCTCACATGAGGGCATGCTGGAAGCAGTTCACGTGATAAAAGTAGTGTTGTGAGACGTCTCACATGGCAGGTCATGTGTCAAAACACTACTTTTATCAAAGGCAGGTGAGTGTCATGTCACGTAGGCCTTTGTGTGATTATTTTCTTAGGCACCTTAAAAATAGAATGTCATGTACATTTGCGTTATCAATCCCTCCATTCCCTCCAACCCCAGGCTCCCTTCCACGTTCCCAATTCCCCTCCACCCTCCCCCACAGCTGGGGCGCACGTGCCATCTCTTCTACAGCACATCAGCCACTGGGCTTAACGACAAGAGTTACCTTACACCTCCCTCCCTCCCCCTCCTCACCTCCCTCCCCCTCCTCACCTCCCTCCCCCTCCTCACCTCCCCTCCAACTCCCTGATCTCCTTCCACCCTCCTTCCCAGCTGAGAGGCGCACGTGCCATCTCTTTTACAACACTTCCTTTCACTTTTTGCCAGCTGAGAGGCCCTTCACTTTCACCACACTCCTTCCCAGCTGAGAGGCGCACGTCCTTTCACTTTTTCCTCTTTTCCCACGGGGCTCACTGAGGAGGACTCCACTCCCTCCCACTCTCCCTCCCGTTCCCTCGTATTTCCCTCCCCATCTCTCGCTCCCTCGCTTTCCCACGCCGCCAACCAGCTGGGGCACACGTGTCATGTCTTCCACGGCACGTCACCCACGGGGCTCAGTGGGGAGGATAACACTCCCCCCCATACTAACCCCACGCCCGCACTCCCCCCCACAACTCCCTTTCCCAACTCTCCCCACTCCCCCCACAATCTCCCCCCCCACCAGCTGGGGCACACGTGCCATCTCTTCTACAGCACGTCACCCACGGGGCTCAGTGGGGAGGACTATGCGTTTGGGGAGAAGGTGCGTGCGGCAGCTGCCGTGTGACTGTGTAGGGTGATGTGGAGTGTGACAGTAACAGTAGTGTGACTGTAATGTGTGTCAATAGCTGTAGAGTGGGGCAAAGACTATGGCGTTAACACAGTGCGCGTGACGGCTGACATGTGACTGTGTGGGGTGATGTAGGGTATGAGAATGGCTATAGAGTGTGGTGAAGACTATGCTTTTGGCAGCACGGTACGTGTAGCATGTAGAGTGTGACTGCAGACAGTGTGACTGTCGAGAGTGTGACTGTAGAGAGTGTGACCGCAACATGTGACCTTAAAGTGCGTCTGCAGAATGTGACTGTAGACTGTGTGCTCAATATGCTCACTCCCTGACCTTGTTAGCTCACTGCACATTTGGTTGAGGCATCCACATTGAAATGCATCCCCAGTGAAATGCGTCCGAAATGCTCATCCTCCTTCCGTCCATGCGTCACACACCACCACAGGGCGTGCGCATGAAGGGACACAAGTACAACAACTTGAGGCCCGAGGCAGTGGAGGCATGGATGTACCTGTGGAGGGCCCCTCTTGGTTGGCACTCACCTCTGTCTTCCATCACTCCTCATGTACCCATGCTCACCTCACAACAGGGCGTGCACATGGAGGGGCGCAAGCACAACACATTGAGGCCCGAGGCAGTGGAGGCGTGGATGTACCTCTGGAGGGCCACGCACGACCCCATCTACAGGCGTTGGGGTTGGGAGGCCTTCCAGGCCTTTCAGAAGCACTGCCGCGTGGAAAACGGCTTTGTGGGGCTGCTGGATGTGAGTATAACGGGGTGGCTTTAGAGTAGAATGGCTTGCATGATTTGTGGATGACACCAACAGATTCTTGACACAAGCGTACAGCACAAGCACCACGCACAAGCGTGAAAAGGTACTGGAGGTGGGAGGGCGACGCACGACCCCGTCTACAGGCGCTGGGGGTAGGAGGTCTCCGCGTGGAAAACGGCTTCGTGGGGCTGCTGGATGTGAGTATAGCGAGGTGTCTTTAGAGTCGTGGTTCGCAGGTGACACCACCAACTGATTCTTGACACGAGTGCATAATACGAGGTTACACGTTGCCAGCTGTGGGAGGTCAAACGTTGCCACTCACGGGGGGTGGGAGGCCTTCCAGGTCTTTCAGAAGCACCTCTGCGCGGATATCGGATATGTAGGGCTGCTGGATGTGAGTGTAACGAGTTGACAGTGGGTGCCGTGATCTGGTGCTGTATACAAGTAGCGGGAGTAAGAATGGGCTGGCTTCGGACGTTCCAAAAACACCGCCGGAACGCATTCAAACATCAAGTGTGGTGGATCTCTCCTACTAATCCACTGTGGCCCTAATGTTTGGCTTGGTTTCTCTCCCCATCATTCTTATTCTCTCCATGCTCCAGGCCTCTCAGAACCCTCCACAGCAGGACGACTTGCAGCAGAGCTTCTTTCTTGCCGAGACGCTCAAGTATCTTTACCTCTTGTTCTCGCCCGATGATGTGCTGCCTCTCAACCAATGGGTGTTCAATACCGAGGCACACCCTCTCAAGATTATCCCAAGAGAGTCAGATTTTCCTCCTCAAGTGAAGATTGAGTCTAAAACTAAACGTGATGCGCTACCTGATGATGAGTCGCTTGCGTCTTGAAAAGGCAGCTGGTAGTAAATAGAATTTATGTGATAACTTTTTGCCCTGCTTTTTCCCAATAATATAATAACGGTACTTTCTACCTGTCTTTCATAATGATTTGTCATCGTTAAGTGAAGCATGGAGGATCTTGGTGTTGAGTTGCCTGCTCTTTTTTCGCACACCCAACGCTACTGCCTCATTGACGATCTCGTTGGAGATAACTGGTGTCGTACGGATCGTCAAAGGTTTCGCCAGCGAATGTCATAGTGTGGACGTTCAAGCGACGGAAGTGGCATTCATGGTTGGGGCACAGCCCTTCCCGAGGCTGGATTTCGCCCGAGCCTTCAGCGTCTAGGCTTTTTTTACGTCGTTTTGCGCGGATGTGGCGCCGATTTACCACAAACCTAGGCTCTGATAGCTTCATCTCCCAACCGAACCTAGTGAGTGGCCTGGTAGGGCAGGCGATAGCGAGGCGGCGGCGAGCGGTGCGAGCAGGGCCGCCGATTAGAGGTGAGGGGGGTTGCGTCGCAGGTGCACTTTGGTTTGGTCTGGAAATGTGAAACGGAGCTTGGAGGGCGATTCGACATTCGAGATTTCGTCTGTCCACCCACCCAGCCAAACAAGCAAGCACCTTCATTCCCCCATGTCGGCCCACCAAAATCCTCTGTTGCTGTCTGTCTGTCGTTCTTTCTGTCGCGCTTGCCTCGCCCTCCCAGTGTCGCTGGACTCACCCAATTGCGTTTTCTCCTCATTGCTTGTTCTGCGCTCGCCAGCTTAGTCGCTATTCGACGTCTTAACTTTGACCCACATTAGTAGCCCTTCGACGCTTTGGACTCGCTCCTAGCTTCGCACCATCTTAGCAGCCCGTCGCCCTTTTCGCTACCCACGTGCATTTCGACGTGCATTTTGCTCGACAACATGCGTCACCCGTCGCACAGCGATCGTTCGTCGCACGGCGACCGTTTCTGGCGGCGCTCGTGCGACTTCAGCGGGCTTAGAGAGCCGCTGGTCATGCCGACCTGCATGCCGCAATCGCCGCCGCATCCTGCGCAGCTGCACAAGTGGGCGGATCGCGCCGTGTACGCGATCTGCGTGGCGTTGCTTCTCGGATCGCTGTTCTTGGTCCATCACACCACGCGTCGCGAAGCGAAATCGACAGGTGCCGATCCGATAAGCGCTGACTCGATAAGGGCTAGCTTGTCCCTTTCCCCTAGTAGTAGCAGCAGCATTACGAGCGGCGCGGGACAATCGAACCGTCGCGCGGTAGCATCTATCTCCTACGATGACGCGAATTGCTCTAACGATAGCTCACGCTTAACGATAGCAGGCCGCAGGTATTTAGAACACGACGTTGATGCTGATGCTTCGGCGGTTCCCGCGTGGCAGCCCATCACGTGGGCTCCGGAGAAAGACAAGTACCTTCTGGCCACGTGTACACACGGCCACGTGGCGGACCGCCTGGTGTGCTTGCAGCGGTACGTGCTTGTAGCGGCGATGCTGAATCGCACTCTCGTCATTCCTGAAGACGACGTGTGCGGCGATGCGCGTCATCCCGCGAATCACGGAGACGCTACCAGTAGCATGATTAGTAGAATTGCTAGTATTGATAGTGATACTAGGACTAGTAAGCGCCGTCACCGTGACGTCGGTCCGCCGTCCGTTAATTTCGCGCGGGTACTGGATCTCGCAAAGTTGGAACAGTGCTTGTCCGGAGGCAGCAGCGGAAGCAGCAGCAGCGGCGGTCAGAACGCGAGGTCTGGCTCCAGTGCCGTGGAAGACGGAAGAGCGAATTTTGCAAGGCGGCTGAGTAACGTGCCACTATCTGAAACCAACGAAAACAGCGGCGGAGACAGCGGCGGGAACAGCGGGGGGAACGACGAGTGGGCGATCATGCCTCGCGTAATGACATTGTCTCGCTTCTTGCGGCTTCGACGAATGAAGACCGTCCTCGTGGATAGTCTCGTGTGCGGCCATTCCGCTGGCAGCTGCTCTCTCCCCTCTCACTGCGCGTCCTCTCACCATGAACTTCGCGAAAGTAAATTGCACGAAGCCGATGTAATCCGAGTAACCCTCCCTCGTCGAACGGATCGCATACCACCCTTCGTTTCAAGCATCTCCGACTTCCCTCGCGCAATACTCACCGACGCGCCTCGATCGTACCGCGCGTCGGTGCTCTCTCTCGGGGATCTGCGCAACTTAAACGCGTCCGACCTTCCTATCGGAGCAGACGTCTCTCATCGCGTATTTCAGCAATTGCTTCTAACGAACCTTGACAGTATCGAGCCTTCGACAAGCGTGAGAATCAGTTGTGTGTTTCCGTTGCAGCCGTCTCGCGAAGTTGTGACTCTAGCGGATTGGTACCGGCGGGAGTATATCGGAGGTGACTATGCCTCGTTGCGCCTGGAACGGAGAGACTGCTTCAGCAAGCGGAGTCGAAGCAGCGCGGATGATTCGGAAGCAGCGTTAGCGAAGAGGGACGAGGTGCAAGCAACGAGTGGCGTCGATACGGGGGTGGATGGGACAGGAGAATTTTTCGAATCGGTAGTGGCCACGTGGAGAAAGCAGGTTGGCGGGTTAGAAGTTGGGCAGAAGGAGGGGCATGAAAACGAAACCGAGCAGTCGGAGCAAGAATATTTGCCCCTTGCCGCAGTTGCCGCGTTAGTGGGAGACTCGTTAGAGTCTCAAGGCATCCGAGTGCTGTTTCTTAGCAAAAATGCCGATCAAGAGTGTGCAGTGGATGGAGCCCTAACTGCACTGCTGTCTGCGCGCGGCATTACAGTCATGCGTCTACAGTCTGTTATCGGGTCCTTCAATAAGGAACCCAGCGGTGCTGGTGGTGGTGATTGCAAGGATGGAGATTGTGGGAAGGACAGCAACAAGAGAAGCGAGAACAGCAGCAGCAACAAGGTAGGCAGGAGCTATGATGGTGATGATGAGGGAGAGGAAGATAAAGAAGGTGGCGGTAGCAGTGCAGCAGCTGTCAAGGAAGGGGGCGAGTTGACAGAGGCAGCAACAGAGGCAGACACAGAGGCAGAGGGAGAAGCAGCAGCAGTGTCTGCTGACGTGGCAGCATCAGCAGAGCTCCTACTAGCTGCCAGTGCCCGCACTCTGCTTCTCTCCCCTGTCCACCGCTCTCCATCCTTTTCTCCCTCCCTCTCTCCTCCTCCTCCTCCTCCTCCTCCTCCTCCTCCTCCTCCTCCTCCTCCTCCTCCTCCTCCTCCTCCTCCTCCTCCTCCTCCTCCTCCTACCTCCTCCCCCCCCTCCTCCCACCATCCCCTCTCCCTCTCTCCCTCAGCCGTTCACATTGTGAACCTGCGGCGGGCTATGGGCATGGCGTCATGCTCTGACGCACTGCTATGAGATGATGCTGCGGAGAATGCTGCTATGAGAATGCTGCTATGAGAATGCTGCTATGAGAATGCGCTTTAGACCCATGTTCGAACCCCACAGAGGGCATGGCGTCATGCTCTGACGCGCTGCTATGAGATTCTGCTGCGGAGAAAAACTGTGTTTTTTTCTGACCCAAGTTCGAAGCCACAGAGGGCATGCAGTCAAAGCTTGGCTCGAGCAGTCGGTCCCAAGCAACAGAGCGTCCAGCTATGCCTAACTGCGATGTGAGCCTGCCGGTGACCTGCTGCTGTATTGTGCTGCTGACGTGCTGCTGCGGGTTGAACGCAGGCTTGCAAGGAAAATGGTCGGATCAATCACTCCGTTTTGACTCTGCTTCTATTTGCTCAGTGGCATGAGCTACCGCCTGATTCTTCTAAGCTACGGTAGTAGGGTATAATGTCTGTGTATGCAGCAGTAGCATTACACAATTTTCCTAGACATTAATGAAGCGATTGTCTAGGCAGTGTTAAAGCCGCAACCAACCATAAGCCTTCCTGAAATTGTTACTGTTCAGGGTTCAGGATCCAGGGAGATGCTTCTCTGTGGGAAAGATGAGCTGTTTTGTTACTAGATTTCAGTTGATGCATACCATGTCAATGGAGGTGAAGTTCATGTTTCATTCCATATTTGTATCATCATGCAAAGAATTAACAAATCAGCCCACCTAAGGACCCACTGTATAATACAGGTGCAAAAGCTGTCACCGAGTCAACCCTCAGGGAAACTAATGCACGGGCATAACCTTCCTGGCGCGGCCATACGCGGTATAAGCGCAGTCTACAGCAAGCACATCACTCGCCTCATACGACCTGGGTGTACCATCCAAGAACCCCTTCCCCTCCACGCCATCAGCCGAAATCGGACGGTGCAGGCTAGCGATCAATCGCTGGAAATCCTCAGCGCGCTGCGAGTGATCCGCGCGGTACGTCTGCCCCAACACACCATGAATCTCCTCTGTGTGCTCCAGCTCGGCAATCCCGACGTTGATGTGCGCCTCGGCGTCGGTAGGGGTCTGCAGCTTCGGGTGCGCGACGCGCAAGCGAAGATCCAGCGAAATCAGACCGTCGATCGTCAGCATATAGTAGTCCACATCAAACGGTCCTTCTTTCTCCAGCCCGCGGAATTGAATCGTTAGGCCACCGTCGCTCGTCACCGTGTCGCCAACCTTCATCCGCGGAATCTCCTCGCCGTCAATCTCGATGCTCTTCATAAACCCGTCGTCGCGCTCTTGTTGCTTACCACCGCGCGCCGCGAGCCGAACCTTGTGATCTGCGCCCTGAGCGGTCCAGACAATCCCAAGCTCCTTAATCCACGTGTGCACCGCCTTGCCATCAACGACGAGCGCGGCATTATCGGTGCGCTCGTCATAATAACCCCTCAGCAGCATGTTCACATGAAGATCGCGGTCCGTCAGCAGGCAAAACGCCTTGTCTGGCCGACCGTTAAAGTCGAAATGCGTGCCGTGCGCGCCGACCAAATGCGGGTCGTTGAGAATCTTCGCGCTAGGGTTACACTCTCCGCCAATTCGCACCTGCAGATGCACCGGCTTCGTTTCCGTCGAATACTGCGCGGTCATCTCTCCGCACGAAAAATCAATCTGGTCGTGTATCAAATAGCACGCGCCCTTGCCTTTCTTACCGTCGATGGTTATATCGGGGATGTACTGCCAGTACGTGCACAGCGGAGTCGCGGCGCAGGTGTTGCAGCACGACGCGGGGTTGGCCTTGAGCACCGTCAGAGGGTTACCCGGCACGTACAGCTCGTAACCCAGCTTGTTCTTTTGCAGATAAGCGGTTTTCCACTTAGCGGGGATACCTCCCTTGGAGCAGTTTTTCGGCGTGCAGGCTCCTGCGAGCTCCTTGTTCAATCCAGGCGGGCATTTCTGCGCGTTCCACCCGGCCTTCTTCACATCAGCCATGAAGAACGAATCCTGCGCCGTATCCACGTAGGTGACTCCCGCTGCATTTCCCGTCGCGGCCTGCTTCGCGATGTCCGCGGGGATTTCGGTCATTAGGCCGTCGTCCTTCTTGCTGCTCTGGTCAGGCTTCTCATTCGCGGTGCCGCTCGTGATGGGGCTGCCAGCGCGGGCGACTGCGAGCAGCAGCGCCAGGGACAGCGCGAGAAGCGCGGCTCTATCCATTCTGGAAAGCTGGGAGAGAGGTAGATTGAAATGAACCAGTGCGCTGCGTCGTGTGGAATTACAACACGAATTTATTAGTAACGTAGTACGGTCGATTTGAGAATTGGTTCTATTACCTGCCGACGAGAACAGTTTCTGTGCTTGTTGGTTGGATGGAAATGGCAAGCATTATATTTGAGGCCCTAAGTTGGAATTGGGGACATCGAGTCGCGGTTGTGTTTGTTTCTCTGCGGCGCGCTGCAGTTAGTTTCAACGAGTTGTGCTGGTTTTGACCTGCTCGCGGTGGTGTCACGTTGCTTCTTCGTGATTGGATGTATTCCCAGGTGCATCCGAACCTACTTGCGGGCCACGACACGCATGCTGCTCAGGTTTATGCTGCATGTGCATCTGGTTCGAGACCTGAACCTGACGGGCAGAGGTGTCCAGGCTGGAGGCGAGAGGTCTACACTACAGTACTTGTAAGGAATTAAACAAAATTGAAGTACTATAGAAAAATAGCATATTACCCATGAAGTTATCATTGAAAGATCCATCCACCATCAACTCTAGTCCCTCCAAACTACCCTGCATAACTATCCTTTCATGTTGACCTAGCCAAATCAATTCCAGTAATATGCAAATAACTGGTGCTACTGGTGCCGCTAGAGCGTGTAGCATCAGAAACAATGATAGGGAAGGTTCAAGGTTGGTTGCGGCGGAAACGCAGGGGTTGTAACACAGATGAAGGAAGCCATTGCACGGTGGGGACAGGCTGCAGGGACAGTGCCAGTACAGGGAGGGGGAGGCCTCCCCCCATGCTTATATCAAATTGCCAACCATTGTACGTCATATATCCCTTCCATGGGGTTGGGTGGGTCTCTGTCGATAGGAGGAATGATGGCGACAGCAATGCCATCCAGTGCCAGCACAGGGCAGAAGGTGCGGCCACTGACCCACCACTGCCCCTGATGCTACTTTACAGTGATTGTTGTTGAGGCGCCAAACAAATGGCATCCAGTGCCAGCACAGGGCAGAAGGTGCGGTGCGGACCCTGGCCCACCACTGCCCCTGATGCTAGGCTACTCTACAGTGATTGCCAGCCAGTACGCAACACGTTGTCTCTACACTCCATGGGTTTGGGTGGTTCTCTGTTGAGATGAGGAATGATGGCAACGGCAAGCCATCTAATGCAAGCACAGGATGAAAGGTGCAGCCGCCGGCCCCTGACCCACCACTGCCCCTGAATCCCTGTTGCTACTCTACAGTGATTGCAAACCAGTACGCAACACATCATCTCTACACTCCATGGGTTTGGGTGGGTCTTTGTTGAGAGGAGGAATGATGGCGACAGCAATGCCATCCAGTGCCAGCACAGGCCGGGGAGAGGCCACCTCCCCCGATGCTGCTGAATCTGGCGTGACTCGAGGCTCTTTAAACGCCTTGGAGGCAAACGTGACTCTGAGGAGGTGTGACGGGTGGGATGGGGAAAGGCGAAAGGAGGACCATTGCATTGGCTGCTGCTGCTGCTCCTGCTGGTGTGACACACGGCGTTTTAAATGCCTTGGATGCGAATGTGACTCTGAGGAGTGGAGGTGTGGGATTGGGGAGGCTATGGGGGATGACATGCGGGTAAGGCATAAAGGAAGGTGTGAGTGAAGATGCCTTGAATGCCTTGGATGCCTTGGATGCGAATGTGAGTCTGAGGAGGTGCGGGATGGGGATGGGGTGAGAGGAAGGTATGGGGATGGGGTGAGAGGAAGGTATGGGGAAAGACATGGGAAGACGCTTTGAACGCCTGGAATGCAAGTGTGGACTCTTGAGGAGGTGTGGAGGACGGGGAGGGGAGATGGGGAAAGGCATGGGGGAGGGAATAAAAGGAAGGGGTGTGAGAAGACCTGCGCACACATACCCGCACACACATACCCGCACACACATACCCGCACACACATACCCGCACACACATACCCGCACACACATACCCGCACACACATACCCGCACACACGTACCCGCACACACGTACCCGCACACACATACCCGCACACACATACCCGCACACACATACCCGCACACACATACCCGCACACACATACCCGCACACACATACCCGCACACACATACCCGCACACACATACCCGCACACACATACCCGCACACACATACCCGCACACACATACCTGAACCGGTGTTGGTATGCCACCACTGGGATAGCCTTCACTGTGGCAGTCACCCGCTCGCCCACGTGCATAGCCACGCACACACACACAAACGGACCGCCACTCAGCCACACACTCACCCTCTCTCACTCACTGCCACTGCACAGATGGGTTCCTACACTCGCTGTGAGCAATTTTCGAGAATTCTAAATAATCGCTAATTGCTGCCGGTATGCCACTACTAAAACAATGGGCCTCTATTTTCTCTGTCATCTGCCCGCCCACGAGCACAGCTGCGCACACACAGACCCTCACTCACAGCTACACACGCGCGCGCGCGCACCCTCACACGCTCCTGAATCTGTGTCTGTACGCCACCACAGAAATTGCTTCCACAGTGGCAGTCACCTGCTCGCCCCCATGCACGGGGCAGCACAAATGCAATGCCCCCTCGTTTTCACACTCTCTCACACACCCCACCCACCTGAATCTGTGCCGGTGCGCCACCACAGAAATCGCCTCTACTGTCGCCGTCACCTGCTCGCCCACGTGTACGGGCGCCAGAAAGCGCAGCGTCTGAGAAACGTAAATGGCACCGGGCTGAAGGCCATGGGGAAGAGGGACACGGGTGTTGGAGGGAGGTTGGAGGGAGGTTGGAGAGGGGTTGGAGAGGGGTGGGGTTCATGTGCTGCTGCAAGCTGCTCGCCTGCTCGCCTGCCTGCCTGCTCGCCCATGTGCACGGGCGCCAGGAAGCGCAGCGCCTGCGACACACAGATGGCACCTGGCAGCAGGGCATGGGGGTGATGGGAAGAAGGGGACAGGGGTGTTGGAGGGGGGTTGGGTTGGGGTTGCATGCAATCAGAGGGGGTCGCTCGCCTGCCTGCCTGCCTGCTCGCCCATGTGCACGGGCGCCAGGAAGCGCAGCGCCTGCGACACATAGATGGCATGTGGCTGCACGGTGTAGTGGAGGGGGGGTTGGGGGGAGGACGGGCGGAGTGTTGAAGGCGGAGTGTTGGAGGCGGAGTGTTGGAGGCGGAGTGTTGGAGGCGGAGTGTTGAAGGCGGGATAGTAGAAGCGCAGAGTCTGTGACACGTAGATGGCACCGGGCTGCTAGGTGTGAGGGGGGGGGGGGGGGGGGGGGGGAGTGTGGTGATACGCGATCCGAACAGGAAACAAGCTCGCCGCCAACATCCCATGAATCCACGCTCGCCGCCAACATCCCATGAATCCCGCCGCCTCCGGGCTTTGATGCAGGCGATGAGAGTATCAAAGAGACACGAGCAAGAAACCAACGTACATGGTGTTTCGCGATAAGAGCGGGGAACAGGCTGGTAACCAGGATCCCATGCACCACGCACCCGACCCCTCCAAGCTTAGATACAGGCGATCAGAGCATCAAAGCTTAGTCACGAGCAACCAATGAACGTACATGGTGTTTTGCGATGAGCGCGGGGAACAAGCTCGCCGCCAGGATCCCATGCACCACGCACTCCGCGAATCCCGCCGCCTCGGCGGCGCGCGCGTCGAGGTGGATGGGGTTCAGGTCGCCCGTCATGTGCGCGAATGCGGCGACCTCAGCAGCCGTGAACGTGTGCGCCGTCGTCCACTGCTCGCCCGTGAAAACCGGCGGCGGCGCGTGCGCGCGCGTGTTTATCAGCCTCGCGCCCGCCGCATGACCGCCAGAAATCCCGCCGGTAATTCCGCCGCAAATGCCCCCGGAGATGCCGCTATTACTAGCGCCTCTACTGCAGCTGATGGCGCCCCTGCCTAAGCCTTCAAAGCGCGCCGAGCCACTCTCACCACCTCGATCTCGTTGGGGAGAGGATCCTGAAAGGGTGTCTACATCAATCCCTATGTAAGCATCTCCGTTATAAGGAGTTCCTGTGTAAGAAATTCCTGTACAAGGTCCTAAAGTTGGTTCTAGTTGGCCAAGCGAGTGGAGGGAGAAATTCCTTGTGAAGAGCCGAAGAGCAGGAGAACCGTGAGAACGAGCCGTTTGGGCTAGCCACGACGCCATTGGCGCGTTTTTCGCGATTGCCCACGTGGAAGCTCGTCACAGGCAGCGGGGAAAACGGTTAGCTAGTCATGTGAAACAGCCAACTGCTAAAACCACCAGGGACACGACGCAGTAAAGACAGGGGAGTAATAACTGCGAATGCTCCGCTTCAGGCACGACGCAGTAAAGACGGGAGTAATAACTACGAGTGCTCCCCTCCAGGCACGACGCAGTAAAGACGGGAGTAATAACTACGAGTGCTCCCCTCCAGGCACGACGCAGTAAAGACAGGGGAGCAATAACTTCGAGTGCTCCCCTCCAGGCACGACGCAGTAAAGACAGGGGAGCAATAACTTCGAGTGCTCCGCTCCGCTCTAGAGGAACAACGCACCAATTCCGCCAGTCTGCACAAAAAAAATCTTCTGTGGTGCACCTTTTTCAGCCTAGAATCTGCAGCGACGAGCGAAAGGGAGCCATAGGCCGTGGCCGCGGGTCTAGGAGAGAACCGCACAGAACCAAACGGAAAAGCACCAAAACTACTTAACCGCACGGAAACTACACCCAAAAAAAAAAGAAGAATGATTTAGAACCCCTCTTTTCCAGAATTACTGTTTTGACACCACCTCACTATCTAGTCTAGACTCTAGAACCACAGAATGTGGCAAAATAAGATAACCAAATTTTGGGGGCCGCCTATAAATCAGATCCCAGCAAAAAGCGCAAAGATGTCACCGCTGACGTAGTCGTTGTCAACGACACTGACAAGGTAATAGGTGTCGTGGATCTGCAAGAGCCAAGACACAAAAGAAAACATTGAAAGGGAACATTGACGAAAACACCGAGTCATTTTGAAGGTATCACCTCAACTCCTTCCCTATTGCCATGTTGCCTTGTATAACCTCATACCACCTCATATCACTCACCCGTAATGACATCCTATCATCCCGGTCACCTCATACCACCCCCCCAAATACCCTCCATAAGCACTCTCACAAGCCCTAATCCACCTCCTGCCATCCAGCCCTGCAATCACCTTGGCCAAACCTACTCTACCTGCAATCACCCCACCTGACATCACTCTCTCACCAGCCCACCTGAGCTCACACCAGCCTCACCTCACTACACATCATCTCACCCACGCCCTCCCCCACCTTACTTGCACCATGCCCCCACAACCCCTCCTCGCCTCCTGCGGTCATCCGTCACACCCTGTAGACCTTCCCTCACACCTTCTGCACCACCATGCCACCACCTCGTCTCACTCCCTGCACCCATCTCTCCTCACCTCATTCAATCGTCCATCACCCCAGCACCCACCCCCCTCTCTCCCCTCGTGCAGCAGCTTTCTCACCACCGGCGTGCCATCCTCCTCGTAAAGCCCGGCCCTGGACAGCACCCTCACCTCAACCCTTCTCACCTAGTTCAACCGTCCCTCACCCCTTCAAGCCATCTCTCACCTCCTGCAGCAGCTTCTTAACCATGGATGTGCACTCATCCTCCTCCTTCCTTGTACAGCCCGGCCCAATCATCCAGCCACGCGCTGAACGCCTCCTTCCACACCAGGAAAGACAATCCGCCACCGTCGCCTGCACCACCTCCCTCCCTTGCCTTGCCTCTTTCACTCTACACTCCTCACCCTAGAACAAACCAGCACCGCTTCTAACCTCCTTCAAACGTTCCTCACCTCTTCCACCTGTCCCCGCCTCACCCCATGCACCCATCTATCTCTCACCTCTTGCAGCAGCTTCTTAGCAACGGGCGCGCCCTCGTCCTCCTCCTTGTAAAAATCCGCCCAGTCATCCACCCACGCACCAAACGCCTCGTCCTTCCACGCCAGAAACGACATGAAATCTGCCACCGTCGGCTGCATCACCTCCCTCCCCGGAAACACCCCCCACGTGACCGCATTCGCAGAGAACGGCGTGGTGGACGCAGGCGTGCCGGGCCCGGTGGCGAGCACGTGGCCGGAGGAGCTGACAGCCATGAGGGAGATTGAGGGCGTGGCCTTGGCCTTCTCAAGGAGAGTGGTGACCTTGTCGTGCGGAGCGAAGCACTCCACATACGCCTTCTGGTAGATGTACCCCCCGGGGCCTCCCCAGCCTGGGTATCGGCAAAACGGAGATATAGGGAGGGAGGTCACACACGGAGTGGGGAAAGAAGAAGAGCAGGTTTTGCACCATTGATTGACAGCAGGGTGTCAGTGGGCCGAGTTGGACAAGTGGCACACCTCCACTGCCTCACTCATAGCATAGCCAAACCTTCTGCTAGTGTCTCCACACACTCACCCAGCACAGGGTCATCTCACTTGGCGCCGTTCACAGCGGGCTGGCTGTTGATGGTGAGCAGCCCAGCGGCGTTCAGCTCCTGCCGCCGAGCGCTAATGGGGGCGGAATCCGCATATAATCCGCATATCAGCTTCTGCCGCCGTCTTAGCGCCCACCCAGCAGAGCACACTCACCCAGCAGAGCACACTCACCCAGCAGAGCACACTCACCCAGCAGAGCACACCCACCCAGCACAGCACACCCACCCAGCAGAGCACACCCACCCAGCAGAGCACACCCACCCAGCAGAGCACACCCACCCAGCACAGCACACCCACCCAGCACAGCACTCACCCAGTACAGGATCGTCTGACTTGGCGCCGTTGACGGCCGGCTGGCTGTTGATGGTGAGCAGCCCAGCCGCATTGAGCTCATGCAGCTGAGTGCTGATGGGGGCTGAGTCCGCAGAGATAGAGGCCTCCACCGCCTCGCTCCAGGGGAAGCTGCTCACCTCGCCACTCACAAACCGAGAAAACAGCTGTGGGGGCGGGGGCGGGGGCGGCAGGAGAAGGGAACCATGAGGGAGAATGAAGGCGTACCAAGGAGTGGGATTAGTATGTGAGAATCAGTGGAGAGCTTCCCTTAATCACAGCAGCACGTCTACTGCATTTACAGTTCACCCGTGTAAAATCTTAGTCAGCTGCCCGTCCCCTCCCACTCCTCTTCCCTGCATCCCTCGCTACCCCTCTCACCGGCTTCACATCCTCTGTCAACCAATTGGAACAGTTTGGCCCATAGCAAGAGCAGTATTCCACAGTAGCCCTGGACTTCCGCTTGGACACAAGTCAACTTCCTCAAGAAGAACGCCCTGTGGTGGTGGCAGATCGCTGTAAACAATCCTTTTCAGACTGCTACTTCTCTCACCTGCATCACCCCCCACCTGCCTCAACCCCTACCCCCCACCTGCCTCAATCCCTACCCCCAACCTGCCTCACACTCACCTGCTTCACGTCCTCTGTCGACGCAACAGGGACAGCCCAGTCCCTGCCAAGAGCAGTGGCCCGCGACTTGCGTTTGAGGAAAGCCTTGTGCTTGGCGGGCAGGTCGCTGTATGACAGCGCCTCTGCAGGGCCCAGGCGGCCAGAGGGGAACTTGGTCCACGCTGCTGTGCGCGCCAGGTAGCTCTTGGGGCGCAGGGACCTGTAGGGGGTGGAGAACGGTTAGCATGGGTACGGGTGGGAAATAGTGGGTTGGGGTGGGTACGGATGGGTGCAGGGTCTGTGAGTGGCCACAGGCGGGCAGTGGGGAAACTTGGTCTGCGCTGTTGTGCACGCCAGGTAGCTCTTGGGGCACAGGGACCTGTGAGCGGTGGAACACGGTTGGGATGGTACGGGATGGGAGGGGATGGATATGAGGTGGGAAAGGGTGGGTATAAGGTGGTATAGGGTGCCTGCTGACATCGCCAACGGCCCTCACCAGTAGATGGGGCGCACGTCCTCAGTGAATCGCCGTTGGTCGCTGCTCTCTTCACCCCAATAGAGCCTCATACGTCGTCTCACAGCTCACTGCCCTCACTTGCACACGCAAATCGCTTCCTGACAACGCCAACAGCCCTCACCGGTACACCCTCACCACGCCATGCCAGCAGTCCTCACCAGTAGATGGGGCGCACGTCCTCTGAGAATCGGCGCACGTTGGCGAAAGGCCGCCAGGGCGGCAAGCATTCTGGACCTGCTATGCCACTGCTCTCACCAGCAGATTGCAACCGACCACGCCAGCAGTCCTCACCAGTAGATGGGGCGCACGTCCTCTGAGCATCGGCGCACGTTGGGGGATGGCCGCCAGGGCAGCGAGCGGGGAATGTTGGAGGCCTCTACCAACCCCAGGTTCTGGGGAGGAGAGAGGGAGGAGGGGAGGAGAGGGGGCGGAGGGGAGGAGAGAGGGAGGAGGGGAGGAGAGGGGGCGGAACGAGATACAGTGAGATTGTCTAACATTGACTGCGATTTGCAGGCAGCGAACGAGGGATGTTAGACGCCTCTATCAAATCCAGGTTTTGACGGGGGACAGGGACGAGGGCAGCTGGGGACGACGGGACGAGGTACAGTGAGTTGAATCAGAAGACAAGAGTGTCTAAGATCGACTGGGATTGGCTGGCTGCCATTGCAGCAAGCGGGGGGTGTTGGACGCCTCTATCAGGCCCAGTTACCGAGGGGAGAGAGGGAGGAAGGGAGGAAGGAGATGCTGTGAGTTGAATCAAAGGATAACATCAGGTTTCACTAGTGTTGATGCCATGCCACACAATTAGGACACGCACCCAAGCCACGCACCCAAACCAGCACCCAAGCCACGTACCCAAGCTAGCACCCAAGCCACACCCCATCTGGCTCTGGTTGAGGGTGTAGATCTCCCAGGTGAAGACTGTAGATGCTCCCAAGCGAAGACTGTAGATGCTCCCAAGCGAAGACTGTAGATGTTCCCAAGCGAAGACTGTAGATGTTCCCAACTGAAGACTGTAGATGCCCGAATCCCATCCAACGCCCCCACTAAAACTCCTGAGAGGTCAAAATTCCCCGCGCACGTCCTCAGAAGCACCCTCCTGACGCAACCTCACCTTGAGAATGGCGAGGGTGGTCTTGTCCTGGTTAAACATGTACATGTCGAGTCGAGGGTGGAGATGACCGCACCCAGGATTTTATGTATGTAACACCCACCCAAGCTACACGTGCACGATACCCACCCAGCCCAAGTGTACCTTGAGAATGGCGAGGGTGGTCTTGTCCTGGTTGAGCGTGTACATGTGCAGGGTGGAGATGTGAAGATGGACGCATAGCGTCTGTCACTCACCACCCACCCAGCCTCACCTTGAGGATAGCGATGGTGGTTTTGTCCTGGTTGAGCGTGTACATGTGCAGGGTGGAGATGCCCGCATCCAGGATGCGCCGGCACATCTCCGTGCCTAGGTGGATGCCGTACGCCCTAACAGCCTCCTCGTTATCCTTTATCGGCTCCAACGCGTCCAGAATGCTCTGGGGGACCTGTAATGGTGGCAGGGTAAAAGAGGGTTGGAGAGAGAGAAACGAGAGAGGAAGCAGCGTTAATGCCTTATCATTCCAACCTTTTTTGCCCTGCTTCTCTCCAGGGCCCAGGATATCATACACACAAACACTCTCGCTCTCTCTTCCTCACACATACGCATCCACAAACTCTGTTCCCCCACCTCCTCCCCAAACACACACTCAGAGAGGCCACGGGAACTCGCCTTGGTCTTGCAGAAGGCGGTCATCTTCTTGAAGCCGTTGTAGGTGGTGATGGGCATGATGCCCGGGATGATGGGCTCGCTCACTCCCATGGCCCGGCAGTCCGACACGAACTTGAGGAAAATATCCACATCGTAGAACAGCTGCGTCACTATCAGATCCGCGCCCGCGTCCATCTGAGACAGGGTTTCGGGGTTAGGAAGGGGGCCAGGGAAGGGGGACAGGGACGGGCAAGGGCAACACGAACTTGAGGAAGATGTCCACGTCGTAGATCGGCTGCGTCACTATCAGATCCACACCCGCGTCCATCTGGAAGAGGGACAGGGGCTAGGGAGGGGGGCGTGAAGGGGGACAGGGACGGGTTTGAGGGGTGATGGGCTTGAAGGGGAGTGGGCAAGGGGAGCAGTCCGGCACGAACAGCTGCTGCGTCACTATCAGATCCGCGCTCGCGTCCATCTGCACGTTGGGAGTGGATAGGACGAAAGGAGGGTGGAGTAACAAAAGCGGAATGTTGTGGCGCGGGAAGGAGGGAAGGCGAAGCTTAGTAGTTATCAGGTGTGTCTGAACCCATCTACAAAGGGGCAAAGGTGGCATATGAGACGGGAGAGAGGGGGCAAGGGGCAGAGATGGCAGGAAACGGGAGAGAAGGGGGACGGGGCAGAGATGGCAGATGACCCGTGTAGAACCTGGAGAGGAAAAATTTGCCTACCGCGAACCTGGAAAGCAAACTCAACCTGTTGAGAACCGCATGATGAACCCATCCACCCTTGGAACTTGAGATGCCTAGGTCGTTCTGGTGACCTGCTAGACTTGAAATTTCTTTAAGTCAACTCGGCAAGAACGTGGGAGCGCACTCATCATGCATTTTCCCACCTTGGCCTTGTAGCCCTTCCCATCTATCATGCATTCCTCCCCACCTTGGCCTTGTAGCCCTACCCATCTATCATGCATTCCATTCCTCCCCACCTTGGCCTTGAGGTACTCGAGGTCCTTCTGGTACTCCTCTGGCGTCGCACCGTCAGGGCCGCTGATGGCGTCGGGATGGGCCTCTGCGCTCACATGCACACACATAAACCATGACCGCATCACACGGGGGCAAGGAGATAAGGAGGTCTTTTGAGACGTCTCAAAAGTCAGGGCCGCTGATGGCGTCGGGATGGGCCTCTGCGCTCACATGCACACACACACACACACCATGGCCGCATCACACGGGGGCAAGAAGATAAGCAGGTGTGGAATCGGGTAATGCAATTCATCTTTCTTGCAGAACACGATCGACATTTGAGTAGACTCAGGAGCCTTGTGGGCCTGTGGATGCACATCGTGGCCGCACTTAGGGGTTTATCAGAGTTGGGATATGTACTGTCAGGTGAGTGCAATTAATATGATTTATGAGAAATTTCAGGCGATTTATTGAGATTACTGGCGTTACTTCTCGTCAATAACTTCTACGAGTGTCTATCTCACCTGGATATCCTGCAACCGTGATTCCGAAATAATCGCCATACTTGGCGCGAATGTGCTTCACCTGCAGTAAGAAAACGCAAAGGAGAGGCAAGGTGCGGGAAACGGCCAGAGAACGACAACAGGAAAAGAAAGACGGATAGCGGTTTGCGACGGATAAGGCGTGGCATGTCTCGCAGTCTATCCTAGAACAGATGATAGCACAGCACAGAGGGTAGCACAAACGGTAGCACAGACGGTAGCACAGACGGTAGCACAGACGGGACCACAAACGGTTGCACAGACGGTGAAACAAACCGAGGGCACCAACCATCCTTTTGGCCACGTAGACCTGGCATCGCACGACATACTAATCTCACGCTTACGAGGTCCAGCGCGCACGAGAGGCCGGCTCGGCTTCGACGAATTTGTCCTTGCCGTGGGGGGTTCGTCAATTGAGTACCAAGAGCGTACCATCCAGTCTTACCACGTGCAGCGCGCACGAGGAGCCTCCTTCGGCGGGCGACGAACTTGACCTGGCTGTGCGGGAGGTCGCTCTTATGACTCCCTTCCAGAGCGTACCATCCAGTCTTACCAGGTCAAGCGCGCACGAGAAGCCGCCCTCCGCCGCGACGAACTTGTCCTGGCCGTGCGGGGGGTCGCCGCGCAGCGCGAGCACGTTCTGCAACCCGGCCGCCTTGATGTGCTCCAGCGCGTGGTCGATGCGCTCCACGGGCATGTTGGTGCACGTCAGATGCATCGACGTCTCCACGCAGATCTGCGGGTGGGGTTAGAGGGGGAGGAGGGGAAGGGTGAGGGGGAAACGAGGAGAAAGCGTTCTATCAGTGGAGTCGTGATGTGCTCGAGCGCGTGGTCGATGCGCTCCAGGGGCATGTTGGTGCACGGCAGATGCATCAACGTCTCCACGCAGATCTGCGGGTGGGGTTAGAGGGGGTCATGGGGGAAACGAGGTAAGGCGTTCTATCAGTCGGCTATGGTCGATGCGCTCCACGGGCATGTTGGTGCACGCGAGATGTTTGGACGCCTCCACGGAGATCTGCGGTGGGGTTAGAGGGGAAAAGGGGGTTGACAATTGATGTGCTCCAGCGCGTGGTCGATGCGCTCCACGAGCATTTTGGTGTACGCGAGAGGTATGGACGTCTCCACGGAGATCCGAGCGGGGTTGGGGGGGTTCGGGTGGGAGGATGAAAATGTACAACGGAAACGGTGATGAAGACGTTTTTGAACCGATTTTACGGGCATGTTCGGGTGGAAGACGTATCCATGCAGATCTGCAGAGATGATGCACGCATGTGAAATTAAATCGTTTGTGACATCTCGAACTTGCGATTCAATATTGCAAAGTGGTGCCTGTCAAATGCATCAACGTCTTTCCGCAAATCTGCGGGAAGGATGTTCGGCATGGCTGAGGGGACCAAACGAAGGAATCAGGTGTTTGAGAGGCCTGAAAAACGGCTTACAGGAACAGATTGCACTTCATCTGTGCTCGAGATTCACGTCGTGATGTGAGGATATGGACAGGGAGAACGACGGAAACACGGAATTAAAACAAATCGTTGGAGTACGTTGGCCTGAAACGAAAGAGACTAATATTTCGGAGGAAAACGGTCGGCTCTTCAGATGATTTTTGAATCGACTCAAAAATCTATTCAGGTACTGACATTGTTCTGCATGCGAGTGGCGATCTCCAGGGTGAGATCCGCCGTCGATCCGCCTGCTCCCCACGTGATGTCGCAGAACGCAGGCTGGTACGCGACCATGCGATCCATGCGATCGAACAGGTTCTCCACGCCATCCGCGGTCTTGGGAGGGAAGTACTCGAACGAGAATACCTTCCTTCCCTCATCTAATGCCGCCTGGATCTTCTGCGGAATCTTCATGGCGTAACGTAAAGGGGTCCGGAAAATGACGGAAGCTTTGCACGAGACACTTCAGGGAAGACGAGGAGAACTACTAACTTAGTCTGCCTTAGTTGCAGACAACGGAAATTCTGTGGTAAATCCCAAGGTACAGTCCCAAGGGTGGTGTGGTGGTACAGTACTTGTCCTCCCAGTATGCTGGAAGAGAGATTTTGTTCTGCTCTGCAGCAGAGCAGCTGGCAGATGGTAGGCCCAGCAGGATGGTGACTCATGAATGAAATCTCTAGGCGTTTTTGGGCCCGCTTCATGTCGTTAGCTGAAGTTACACAGGTTTTGTGTGCTACCTTGTCGTTCATTTGCGATGACGATGACCAGATGACATCTTGGCCTCGGATTGGCGAAACCTGTGGCGGGTCATGTATTTCCTGTCAGACAGTTCCACGACACGCATTTGTGGTCGCGCGAAACCGCGCCAGAAGCCATACGGGGCGCGATGGTACTTCCCGCCAGGTACTGTTTGCTGACACCCGTCTTGAAAAACTAATTTCAAAACCTTCGTATAGATTTATACTCTACATTGCTTTTAGCGAATGAGAAGTTTAGAGGGCATCTCGGCACCTAATATCGGAACAAAGCTTCTATGACACGTCAGAAATCCATTTTGACAAGTCCTCATTGGCTATTCAGGATGTTCAAGCTCCTCGACGAATTGTGGCAGACCACCCCAGGCCATTCATCGAGCAAATCCACATGTCTTGCGATCTCATCGCAAATCATCGCGTGGTGTCAGTTACCATCTCGCTAGCCTTTGCTTGGTGGCAACGACAGTGCCACGGGTCCACCAAAACGACCACATGATTCTTCGCCAACAACGCCTCTTCTCAGGTGCAGGAGGTTTCGCCACGCGACACCTCAAGAATCTGCCTCCACGTGTGCACCAGAATCTGGATTACGGTTATTGACCCTTCCACCTCCAGGCTCCAAGCTACACGTAATCCCCTTCGTCGCCTGATTCTTATTATCAAAATCACATCAGTAGCTTTCTAGTCCTGGTCCAGTCCTCACGGCCTAAGTTCTCGCAGCGACAGCGAAGCTTGTCTTCCGATTGATTAGGCCTGGGACGTCCAGAATGGCTGCTCTGACCAATTGCAGCGCATCCAGGTAACACCCAGTGCAAGTTTTCAGTAGTAATTATCGCACAAGATTTTGCTAGTCTCCTAATCCCACCGAACTGCCGCTCCATACATTCTCGATTCCTCCGTTTCTCAAATCTTGATGCACAGTGTCCGGGCGGCAGGGCTCGGCGTAGCGACACCATCGAAGCTATCGTCGTCGTCGTGCACGTCGTCCACGTCGCTCGCCTTGAGACCCCGCCGGGATGCGTCCGGGACAGCAGGCCGACAGCATAGCAGGTGCGCTGCGACTCCTCGCACTTCATTTTTCCTTCCGACGCTCGAAATTCTTAATCTTTTTTATATCGATATCAGTATTTTATGCCAGATGACATAAGCAGAAAAATAGTATTATCCGTTTTGGGGATGCACTGTGTGTCTCTTGAGCATGTCACGTTGGTGGTGGATCCAAAGGGTTCTCTCTTCCCCTCATCCCCTCCCCCTCCCCCACTTCCCCTCCCTCCCCATTCCCCCCTTATCGTAAATCTGCCAAGAAACACTTCTGCTGGTTGTGTCGCTTACACTGGAATGGAAATATAATCGAAATATGGAACTGGAAATTCGGGTTGCAGATTGGTGGTGGAAGCGAAGGGGAAGAAGAACAACCAGTACGCGAGAAGACTACAGCAGCAGCAGCCCTCCGTTCCGGAATTCGACCCGTCAGATGACACCCCCCGCTTCGTCCTCTTCATCAAGACAAAAGCGGTCAGTGCGAGAGTGTGTTCGCCCTAGTTGCCCTTCCTGCTTTATGAGTTAAGTTCATTCTGCATTCCCCGTTTCGTCCTCTTCACGAACACCAACGCGGTCAGAGCAAGAGCGGGTTCGCGGTGGATGCTGCTTCTGCTTTTCGAAAACAAGGACGCGTGATCACAGGATAAATTGTGGTGCTATACGCGCACAATCCGAGTTTAGGGTTTGGTATGTCAGCCGAACCAAGCCGTTCCATGCTATTTACAGATGAAGTAAATGAAACGAAAACGATACAGTCACTGTAGCCTCAGCTGCAGCTGAATATATGATTGGCCCTTATGTTTATCCCTTCTTTTGTGCCGCAGGTGAACCGGTGGTACCCGCTCAGCGTGGTGACGGGTGGAACGGCAGCGAAAATGATGCTGGCAGTGATGCGCAACGACCTGGGGAAGAAGCTGTATGAGGGCACTCTCACACGCAACATTGCCGCTGTTGTGTACAAGGTGGGTGGAATGCGATTGGGTAGGGTCAAGAGAGTAACGAGATGGTCAGGTTACATGAGGCGACGATGATGGTGGCTGGCAGTGATGCGTAAGGGCCTGGCGAAGAAGCTCTATGAGAGCACTCTCACACGCAACATTGCCGCTGTCGTGTACAAGGTGCGCTGAGGTGAAGGGGAGGGGGTTTTGCTTTGGTTAAATGCGGCGATTTGGCTGCATTGGGGCTGGTTTGGGCGAGGTGTGTGAGGGCAAAATGATGGTGGTTGGCTGTGATGCGCAACGACCTGGGGAAGAAGCTGTATGAGGGCACTCTCTCACGCAACATTGCCGCTGTTGTGTGCAAGGTGGGTGGAATGTGGTGAAGTAGTGTTACTAGGCATTCCAAAGTCACCTCTGTGGTGCGCAACAATCTGGGGAAGAAGCTGTATTAGGGCACTCTCACACGCAACATCGCTGCTGTTGTGTGCAAGGTGGGTGTTTGGTAGTCCAGCCATAAGGCATTTTAAAGTCACCTCAATGATGCGCAACGACCTGAGGAAGTAGCTGCATGAGGGTACTCTCACACGCAACATCGCTGCCGTCGTGTGCAAGGTGGGCTGGGGGGAAAGGGGGAGAGGGGGGACGGAGGAGGGAGTTTACGTGGGTGGGTGGTTGGCTGCGCTCGGGCTGGCATGGAGAGAGGCGGTTGAATGCATGAATGCAGTGACGCTGGCAGTGACGCTGGCAGTGACGCTGGCAGTGACGCTGGCAGTGACGCTGGCAGTGATGCTGGCAGTGATGCTGGCAGTGACGCTGGCAGTGATGCTGGCAGTGACGCTGGCAGTGATGCTGGCAGTGACGCTGGCAGTGATGCTGGCAGTGACGCTGGCAGTGATGCTGGCAGTGATGCTGGCAGTGATGCTGGCAGTGACGCTGGCAGTGACGCTGGCAGTGATGCTGGCAGTGATGCTGGCAGTGATGCTGGCAGTGACGCTGGCAGTGACGCTGGCAGTGACGCTGGCAGTGACGCTGGCAGTGACGCTGGCAGTGACGCTGGCAGTGACGCTGGCAGTGACGCTGGCAGTGACGCTGGCAGTGACGCTGGCAGTGACGCTGGCAGTGACGCTGGCAGTGACGCTGGCAGTGACGCTGGCAGTGACGCTGGCAGTGACGCTGGCAGTGACGCTGGCAGTGACGCTGGCAGTGACGCTGGCAGTGACGCTGGCAGTGACGCTGGCAGTGACGCTGGCAGTGACGCTGGCAGTGACGCTGGCAGTGACGCTGGCAGTGACGCTGGCAGTGATGCTGGCAGTGATGCTGGCAGTGATGCTGGCAGTGACGCTGGCAGTGACGCTGGCAGTGACGCTGGCAGTGACGCTGGCAGTGACGCTGGCAGTGACGCTGGCAGTGACGCTGGCAGTGACGCTGGCAGTGACGCTGGCAGTGACGCTGGCAGTGACGCTGGCAGTGACGCTGGCAGTGACGCTGGCAGTGACGCTGGCAGTGACGCTGGCAGTGACGCTGGCAGTGACGCTGGCAGTGACGCTGGCAGTGACGCTGGCAGTGACGCTGGCAGTGACGCTGGCAGTGACGCTGGCAGTGACGCTGGCAGTGACGCTGGCAGTGACGCTGGCAGTGACGCTGGCAGTGACGCTGGCAGTGACGCTGGCAGTGACGCTGGCAGTGACGCTGGCAGTGACGCTGGCAGTGACGCTGGCAGTGACGCTGGCAGTGACGCTGGCAGTGACGCTGGCAGTGATGCTGGCAGTGACGCTGGCAGTGATGCTGGCAGTGACGCTGGCAGTGATGCTGGCAGTGATGCTGGCAGTGATGCTGGCAGTGATGCTGGCAGTGATGCTGGCAGTGATGCTGGCAGTGACGCTGGCAGTGACGCTGGCAGTGACGCTGGCAGTGACGCTGGCAGTGACGCTGGCAGTGACGCTGGCAGTGACGCTGGCAGTGACGCTGGCAGTGACGCTGGCAGTGACGCTGGCAGTGACGCTGGCAGTGACGCTGGCAGTGACGCTGGCAGTGACGCTGGCAGTGACGCTGGCAGTGACGCTGGCAGTGACGCTGGCAGTGACGCTGGCAGTGACGCTGGCAGTGACGCTGGCAGTGACGCTGGCAGTGACGCTGGCAGTGACGCTGGCAGTGACGCTGGCAGTGACGCTGGCAGTGACGCTGGCAGTGACGCTGGCAGTGACGCTGGCAGTGACGCTGGCAGTGACGCTGGCAGTGACGCTGGCAGTGACGCTGGCAGTGACGCTGGCAGTGACGCTGGCAGTGACGCTGGCAGTGACGCTGGCAGTGATGCTGGCAGTGACGCTGGCAGTGATGCTGGCAGTGACGCTGGCAGTGATGCTGGCAGTGATGCTGGCAGTGATGCTGGCAGTGATGCTGGCAGTGATGCTGGCAGTGATGCTGGCAGTGACGCTGGCAGTGACGCTGGCAGTGACGCTGGCAGTGACGCTGGCAGTGACGCTGGCAGTGACGCTGGCAGTGACGCTGGCAGTGACGCTGGCAGTGACGCTGGCAGTGACGCTGGCAGTGACGCTGGCAGTGACGCTGGCAGTGACGCTGGCAGTGACGCTGGCAGTGACGCTGGCAGTGACGCTGGCAGTGACGCTGGCAGTGACGCTGGCAGTGACGCTGGCAGTGACGCTGGCAGTGACGCTGGCAG